AAAAATCCGGATGTGGTCCATATTATGTTCACTTTCTGAAAGTTCATAAAATTGAAATACTTTAGAAAATGTTATTTATTTCAAAGATTTAGTTTTTTGGAGAATTTTATTGAGTTTCTTTTAACTAAATGGTTAAGGAATTGTTTAATATAAATATAAAGCTGATTAACATTTAAAATTCGACTTTTTATTGAGAAAAGTGCTAATGGTGGTCCATATATAGCGCACTTCCTCTACTTTATGACTAATTTGTTACAGATTCCATCAATATGCGGTTGACCGCAAAGGCCACTTGAACAATGCAAAGTGCCCACCAAGCGCGCCATCAAAGTCCGCAGAACATCAGCGCCAATATCACGTTCACCTTCGAGTTCTACACGAACGAAACGGCCGATTGGGGCCCGAGGCGCGACCCCCTCTACATAGTGATACCCATCAGCGTGGTGTACGTGATCATATTCCTGAGCGGCATCCTCGGCAACGTGAGCACCTGCGTGGTCATAGCCAGGAACAAGTGCATGCACACGGCCACCAATTACTATTTGTTCAGCTTGGCAGTTAGCGATTTGCTCCTGCTGGTCTCCGGCCTGCCGCCCGAAATTTACTCCATATGGTCCAAGTATCCCTATGTTTTCGGAGAAGCTTTTTGCATCTTGCAGGTTTGTATTTTATTATTTTGTACCTACCTTATTTTACACACTTGTAGGTATGACCTCATCTCTCCAAAAAGTCTTCTACATATTGTATCGTAAATTTTGTGGATCTTGTAAATTCTGTGGATCTTGCAGATTCTGTAAATCTTGTAGATTCTGTGAATCCTATAAATCCTCTTCATCTTGTAAATCCTGTGGATTTTGTAATCTGGATTCTGTAAAACTTGTAGATCTTGTAGGTCCTGTAGATCCTGTAGATCATGTAGATCCTGTAGATCATGTAGATCCTGTAGATCGTATAGATACTGTATATTCTTTAAGTCCTGTAAATCTTCTGAATTCTATACGTCTTGTAGATCTTGAAGAGGTTGTAAATTCTGTAGAATTTATAGTGACTGTAGATCTTTTAGATATTGTACATCTTGCAGTTCCTGTATATCTTATACTTTCTATTGATCCTTGTAGATTTTGTAGATCCTGGTCTGTACCTACATTCTGCAGATCTTGTTGATTCTGTTCATCTTGCAGATCCTGTAGATCCTGTACTTTCTGTAGATCCTCAGATTCTGTAGATTCTTGTAGATCCTGTGTAGTGTCTGTAGATCCTGTAGATCCAGAACATCCTGTAGATCTTTGTAAAATTTGTAAACTTCAAATTAGTAAACATTTTTGGTAATCTCTATAGTTTTTTTAAATCATTTTAGAGTAGAAATAATTACCAACTTGAGAAAAAATATTGTCGGAGAACGTTGAAAAGTGTGGTAGGATTCGTCGAGGGAGAATGCGAGAAAATCTCTTGGGAATGGCCGAGAAAAAATTCGCATCGCTTATTCAGTCAGATTCAGACGCGAAAATGCTGCGAAAAAGGGTCGGAATAAATCACGAATTTTCATTATTTTGACGGCCTTACGGGCGCACGGACGGGCCCCCTAAAAATACGCGTTCGGTGGAAACGGATTCTATGAATGGTTGATAAGAAAATTCGACAACGCGCCCGGCAAACACGTTCCGAAAATATTATAAGCGGCTCGTAATAAGCGGGCTTATCGAGATCTAAGGCTCGTATGCACGAAAATATTAAATTGGTCGATTTATTAGGAAGGTCCTTTTACACACCTAGGTAAAACAAAATCTTCGGTCTTGGTGAATTTTTTTTTCTAAATTCTCGAAGCTACAAAATATGTAGCTGATGTAGATAATTCAAAATCCAATTGTAAGAGTAATAAAAGAAGTTTTAATACAGGGTGTTTCATTGGGAAAGGGCAATATTTTAACCCTGTATAAAGGTCACCCAGGGGATTACAAAAAACCCATATACTATGGGTCTTGCGCCCTTTATAACCGAGTTACAGGGTGTTTTTTGAATTTGGCCCATTTCTTTCGACACCTATAACTTTTGAATCACTCAGTATATTTTTTTGATATTTGGCATAGATATTCAATACCTTTAGGACAATTTATTGCCACATTAAAAAATTACAAAATCCAGGTCCGGATTTAGAAAAATTAATAAAATTTGACCGACCCTAAAACAACACCCTATACATCATATTTTTAAAAATTGAATTTAAAATTCAGAAAGAGCATAAAAAACTGAATGTATTCATCAACTTTTTATTTTCCCGCATGCCGTTTTTCTACCAAAATTTAAACGTTAAAAGGTACATTATGAGATTTTTGGTCCATGTAAATTGTAATTGAAGGGATTTTAATTATTTTTTCTTTAATAAAACCAGATTTACTTAACACTTTCATGAAAATTCTTGAAATAGACCTATTGAACTTGAATTAACATTCACATAAACCAATAAAAATTACAAATACAGATCCGCACTTAATAAAATTAAAATGATTTCAATTCATTTAATAATTAATCATTGATTATTCAATGTTTACATTTCTACGTGAGAAAATTCAAAACTTAACTAAGTAATTTACTAGATTTTTCAAAAAAGATACTAGAATAAGTATTCTTTTCCACAACACCAAGAGGTAGAACACAAGGCACGTTTTTCTAATGAGGTATCCCCAATAGGGCTAATCCACACGAACTGGTAAAATGGAACAATGAATAAAAAATATGAAAAATAAACAAAAAAATTAACAAAAAACAACTCTAAAGCCAAAAGAACAAGAAATTTGGTTTTTAACCAAATAATTAATATCTACTAATTTAATACTAATTAAAAATAACAAAATGATAATTAACAAACTAACAACAAAAAACACCAGAAAAAAGTCATTTTAACAATTGCTCAAAATGTTCTCCATTTTGTTTGATACATAATCTAGCTCTCCTAATCAAGTTGCAAATAATAAATCTTCTAAGAACATTGGGATTGTTTTTTAATTCTTTAAAATTGCTTACTAGGTAAATGTGTTCTACCTCTTGGTGTTGTGGAAAAGAATACTTATTCTAGTATCTTTTTTGAAAAATCTAGTAAATTACTTAGTTAAGTTTTGAATTTTCTCACGTAGAAATGTAAACATTGAATAATCAATGATTAATTATTAAATGAATTGAAATCATTTTAATTTTATTAAGTGCGGATCTGTATTTGTAATTTTTATTGGTTTATGTGAATGTTAATTCAAGTTCAATAGGTCTATTTCAAGAATTTTCATGAAAGTGTTAAGTAAATCTGGTTTTATTAAAGAAAAAATAATTAAAATCCCTTCAATTACAATTTACATGGACCAAAAATCTCATAATGTACCTTTTAACGTTTAAATTTTGGTAGAAAAACGGCATGCGGGAAAATAAAAAGTTGATGAATACATTCAGTTTTTTATGCTCTTTCTGAATTTTAAATTCAATTTTTAAAAATATGATGTATAGGGTGTTGTTTTAGGGTCGGTCAAATTTTATTAATTTTTCTAAATCCGGACCTGGATTTTGTAATTTTTTAATGTGGCAATAAATTGTCCTAAAGGTATTGAATATCTATGCCAAATATCAAAAAAATATACTGAGTGATTCAAAAGTTATAGGTGTCGAAAGAAATGGGCCAAATTCAAAAAACACCCTGTAACTCGGTTATAAAGGGCGCAAGACCCATAGTATATGGGTTTTTTGTAATCCCCTGGGTGACCTCTATACAGGGTTAAAATATTGCCCTTTCCCAATGAAACACCCTGTATTTTATTTTGCATTATTAATATTATAATTACAAAAAAGTATTTATACCAACTCATCCATTCATGTATTCGTTTTTAATTATATGCATCATATTCCAAAAGAAACTTTTAGGCAAAATATTGGGTAGAATATCCAATCGCTTGTTGACTTTTTCGAAATATTCTTCCTCTATTTTTAAATAAATCTCGTCCAACTTTAAATCGCGGTAGATCTCCTCGATTTTCATCGCCGACTCATCGTCGTTTTTGCCGTAATTCTCCTTTAAAACTTTCATTTGCGATTCGCTGGCCAATTCCAGCGCTTTAGCCAGACACCAAGTGTTCGTGCCCTGTTGTATGTCCCTGCGGTCCTTCTTGTTCTCGCTCGTGGGCAAGAAGACCTCCTGGTAGTCGTTCTAAAAGTTTAAGTTAAAAACTTGTTGTTTCTATCTAGTTTTAAAGTTTTCGTTAGTTACCTGGATGATGATCCACTCGCCGGATATTCTCAAAATTTCCTCAACTTTCGCATGGTAATCGGGATTATCGATATTCGCTAAATACATGCTGCCTCTTATCGGCATATTTGTTATATAATAACCTTTGATGTTCCTAAAAATTCGATACAAATACGCGCTGTATAAATAAGTAAATCCATTTGAAGATATCTTATTTACCTATACTTGAGCAGCTCAAAGGACTTTTCGAAGGGTATCGATCGCATATCCAGGTATTGCCCGACCACGAGCATTAAATAGTACTCTTTCAGCAGCTTAACGATGTTAAGGAACTGCGGATGATCTCGCATTTCCTCCTGCAAAATTAGATAAGCGGCGTTTTCCACGAAAAACGCGTCCAAAACCGCGCTATTCGTTCCTTCCAATTTGTGCCAAGCAGGCTTCATGTAACGCGTTAAACTGTTATCCAGAACATCGTCGAGTGTCAGTTGGGAAGCTTCGGCCTGGAAAAACGCACAAAGTAATCTTTATCGATATTTAAAAATCAAATTAAATCTTTAGAATACAATGTTATTTAGCCAATTAATCACAAAGAGGGCCTCATTTGAAACCACTCCATATATTTTTCCAAGAAGAAGTGCTCTGGATAGAGTCGCTATAATTAGAAATGAAGCCTAAAGAAGGGTTTACAAACCATTCGGAAGGCCCAAGCCATAGCGATGGCTTTCCTCAAATTCTCATCGGTCTGTTTTTCGGGTTGTTCCAGGTGTTTGTAGGAATATAGGGTGAATAGAGCGGTGGCCATGCGTTTGGTGTCTTTGACGTCCACGTTATAATTCATGTAATTCGTGTACCTGTCTGGCAAACCTTGATATTCCTTGATGAAAGTCCAGTTTCTTACTTGCTCGATGACTTTCGGGTAATAGGCCATGATTTCGTTGTATTCGTCGAGGAAAAAATCTTGCGTGTAGATTTTCTTGTCGAGCGGCGGTAGGATTTTGGTGGAGAAACATTTTTTGATATTTCTAAAAGTTATAAAATTAAGTATCTACCAAATTTTGAATTATTGTTTTTAAAATTCTCACGCATTGAAATTCAAATGTTTAACGAACGCATTTATAATCGACTTCATGTTAAGAAATTATTCAAGTAACAAATCGTGAAAGCATTGAATAGCTGTGACCAATATTTTTAACTAATTTTGCCATGTGAGCATTAAGTTTATACAAATTTTAAGCGTATAAAAACATCACTTAACCCAAATATTATATCTTTCTAAAGATAAACTTAATATAGTCTATTTTTTAATGTATTAGGAGTTACGCAATTGTAAATAATATTTGGGAATATTTGTTATTAAAGTTAATGCTGAGGATTTTCATAAACTTGCAAAAAAGTGGAAAAATATTTGAATAGGAATCTTATTTAGTATTTATACCTAATGGTCCGTATTCAGCGCCTCATTGTAACATTAGCGTGACTCTAAAGACGCGTCTCTAGTCAGTCTAAAGTTAAAATGGGTCGCTGAATATGGGCCATTGATCACCTAGCCTGAAAGTATTAGACATATTTCATTAGTAAAATACCGTATAGAAAAATTTTTGCATCGCGAATATCTTTTTTTACGGGTTTTCCTTCATCCTACCATTCGTTAAATGATCGCATTAATATGATTTTGAATGAAAAGCTAACTTATACACGAACAAACGAGAAGGAAATGTGGAATTACAGAAATATCCTGGAAGCATCTCGAAGTTTATAATGTCAGTATTAAATTTAAATAGCTACCTTAACAAGAAATACTTACGTTATAATTTTAATTTTCCTACCGAATATGTTCATAATTGAGTTCATCTTGACAAATTAAAAATTATAAAAAAAATCTCAAATGTTGGCGAAAATATATAAACTTGAACTTTCTAAAATATTGATAAACTTTTACATAAAAGTATCATGTGTACTTTATCAATGTAATGTTACCTAAGCAACGTTTGAAATTGATAATTTTTTTTCTTATTATAAATAAATTTAATTAATATAATGTAAATAAATTTAATTAATATAATATAAATAAATATGTATAATCAAGTATCAAGAACGAACGCGCAATATTTTATGTTCACAGCTTGTATTGTAATCGGGTTTTCCCAAAAATTTTTACCGATTGCAACTTTTAACAGAAGCAATAGGAAAACGTGATATCCTCGCCCAGTACCTATCACTCAAAGAAGTCATTTTGCTATCAATAGAATTATTAGCATGTTTTTATAATTCAAGTCATAAGCACCCGCTTGGATAAATTATTTATTAAAGTTAACCTCATATCCAGGAAAACGTACCTTATATCTTACTTATCAATTATAAGAAGTTTTTTCTGTCACACTAAAGACATCTTTTGTACCTTACAACTGGTTGTTTTAATTATTTTGTGATTGAATTATTTTTTGTAGGGTTTGACCGCTGAAACCTCCGCCAACGCCACAGTGCTCACGATAACGGCCTTCACCGTGGAACGCTACGTGGCCATTTGTCACCCGTTCCTATCGCACACATTATCGAAATTGAATAGAGCCGTAAAATACATTATACTCATATGGGCCATAGCCGTCGGACTCGCCGTACCGCAGGCCATGGCATTCGGAATAGTATGCGAAGTCTTAGCTAACGGTACGTTCTACTTTATAGCCCCCGAAACTCCCATAAAACCACTAGCCAACTCTGTTAAATACTGCTGTATTGCACCAGCTCCACATTTAAGTAAATTTTAGTGACTTTATAGTCACGGCCGTATATTTCTAAGGTCTGGAAACAGCCTATATGCTTAAGCATTAGAGAATGTGTTCCGTTATTTGAGGACTTTTTGAGCTTCACTTTTGCGCCGCACCGTGGCGAACGATCGGATGATCAACTTATCTCAGCCAATCAGCGTCGCGCTACATAAAAATCGCGGTTGTTAAACGACAGTTCAAGCTGTCAAAACTTCAAAAATTATTTTTTGACATTTCGAGGAGAAAATGGAGAAATTAATTTACCGAAGATATGTGAGGCATGATGTTAACAACAAAATCATCGCTGATTTAAGTATATTTTTATATTTTGTATATATTTTTATGGCGCGATTATGTTCTATATCCAGATCCATATCCAGATTCCATATTTACTAACTCCCAACTGTCAACTGTCGATCTGTCATGTTATAATCACGTGTCATTATGACTGTCAAACATGACATGCAATTCAAATCTTGCGGTCTTATCGAAACACCCTTTATAAGCACACTCCTATATTTATTTTATTGCACTCCTCTTGTATGCAATAACAGGATTATTTTACTGACAGGCTACATAGTCGAGGACCACTGCATGTGCATGATCAAGCGGGAAATCGTCCCGCACACGTTCCTGATATCGACGTTGCTGTTCTTCGTGGCGCCGATGTCGCTGATCACGGTGCTGTACATCTGCATCGGGCTGCAGCTCCGCCGGTCTACCGTCGCCTCGGCCAGAGGCAGCGTGAGGTCCAAGCAACAGAAGGTCTACAATCCGGTGGTGACGTACGTGCACCCCTCGGCGCAGGTGCTGGTGCTCAACAGGAGGCAGGAGGCGCGCCAGCAGGACGAGGAGGGCCGGAAGAATTTCTCCAAGAACTCGCAGGCCACCAAGCACGTGGTGAAGATGTTGGGTGAGTCGCTGCTTGTTGGATAGAGAAAAGTTTTGAGGGATGTGAAACGGGAATATGAAATAAAAATCTTTTCTAAACTACGTAATATACCTAATCAAATATTTGATGGAAGATATATATCGTTGTAGAGTGGAATATTGGATTTGTAATATATTGAAAACGGTAAATATCGAATTCATTCAACGAAGTAAGATTTATTGAGCTCATATACGACATATGAAACACTAACAAAGCTATCAATTGAACTCAATTCCTACATTATAAAGGGTGTATAAAAATAATAACAGAGCTACCCTATAATTTATAAATAGGGGTTCCTGCTACATATTTCAGACATCATATTACTGTGTAATTTATAAATTATCACCCAGTATATAATTGCATTGGGGTAATTAAAGTTCGCTTCATTAGCGGGTTGCATCGCAAAAAGCAATTAGCCCTCTATTTGAATAAACCAGCATATGTTTGCATAAATGTGCATACGAGAGGCTTTCATCGGCTCCTTTTTTTATGCAATCAACCAAACGAATTTTAAGCACGAGGCTATTCTTGCGGGGCAAAAAGAAGTTTTAATTTCAATGAAGATAAACAACCGTTTTCATTACTTAGCGTGAGCGGGCGGGAAGTTCGCATGATCGCGCGCCCTAAACTCCAAAAACGATCTCTAATGCATTGCGTAATTCACTGTCGCGTCGTCGGCTAAAGGGAGTTTAGAGCCGAACCGGTTTCGATAAATTCTCGATTCCGGGGACTCCGAATCGTCGTATTACTCAAGTGCACCCTGCCCTCCTTAATAGGGCTTTTACACTGTACCCTTTAGGTACGTGATTGTGACCTTATGTTGGCGTATATTCGCTATCATTTCGAGTAAATTAAACGGTATAAACCACACGGAACATTCGATGACATTTGCTGAAATATACAGATTGGCACATTAGTATGAAAAAACTCTTAACTTACCTATAGAATGTAGCGTTAGGTTTTTTAAATATAAGCGCCCTCTTGTGGAGAAAACGTATAATTTTCTGTTTGAAGTTCAATTTTATTAGTAATTCACGACTGAAACTTCACTCCTAACTCAAGTGTTACAATGTTTTCGTGAATTCCTTTTTGGAGTAGGTGTTTTTTAAAAACTTCTGATAAAATATTGCTCGCGTTTACAATGTATTTGATGAAAAGCAAGTTCTTAAATACGTCTGAAGAGGAATTTTGCGCAAAAAAACTCCTAATTTCAATGGCCTTATTCCCGAAAATTGGGCGTTAGAAAAAAAAAGTAATTTAATTCGCTCGGGAGCTCCCGGTCCCCTTCGGTCGTTCATGAAATTAATTCGTTATTTCGAAATTCGATTAAAAGTTTTCCTTTTTTCCCTTTGTCCGTCGACGAATTCGATATTAATGTTTCGGTTTTTAATACATTTAAGCCATCCGCAGTAGCTGGGAGTTAATGATCCGTTTCGACCAATAAACACTCGCCTGCAAGGATGTTAATTCAATTATCAAAGCGCACAAAGGGCGCATATTCGAATGAATTAATTCGAATTTAAGGACTCGAAAGCGAAATTTGGCATTTTTACTGGCCCGTCTACTTTTAATTAGCCATCATTTTCATGGATGAATTTAAGAGGGTACAGAGCTAATTTATGCAGCCCTCTTTTCCCAAAATCATTACTTTATTTTTGTTAATACAATAAATTTGTTAGGATATAATGAAACTATTACCATGTACGTTGAAATAACGCAACTCTTTATTTTTCTAAAACTCCCTATAAACTCTATTATAACCATGAAAGTTATATTAAAATTTGACGTGCCGTAACAAAGTTAACTACCCGAAATTAAGTCGAGTATTAGGTAATTATTTTATGCTCTTTTTACACCGGAATTTAATGCGTAAACTTCAGCTCGTTGTAGGTGTGCGGGCTCGGGAGTTTTCGACGATAAGCATTCGAAAAAAGTCGTAATTGACATCGTAAACGTGCGGAAACCCGCTGTGCTAACAAGTTTTGAACGGAAATTTATAAACTCCTCCATTACGAAGTTTAAACTAACGGCTTCAAACCTAATTTTCGTCACGTTGTTGTTATTAACTGTCTCAATCAAAACAAACGATTTTAATTAGTTTTATAGTTGGATTTTGAGGATCTCGTGCGTTAAATAATATATTTTTACCAATAACCAACAAAAATTTCGGCCATCTTTTTCACTAAAATCTCGGAGAAAACCTGTATGGATAAATGGAAATCGAATTAATTAATGGATTTAAAATAATGTAAAAATTACCTGGTCCTATAACTGGAATGGCTTCTAAATTTTTCGTTTACTTCTGTTGTGGATTTTGACAACAAACTCGGGAATAAAAATCTTCTTAGGGCGGCATTTCTGAGTTTGTTTGTAAATAAAGTTTTGGTGAAATGATCGGAGATTTTCGAATTAATGTCGAAGCCGTAGAGATTACCGGCTGGTATGACGCGCCCCTGAAATGAAACTGAGCTTCTGAAAATCTAATTAATCAGTAAATTATTCGTGTACCTATACCGGGGTGCTAAATTAACTAAATTGACTTACCTATGAATAAAAATGTTTGTTTAAAACTATTTACAAAAGGTATGATTACCTAATTATTCGCACATTTTGTAAATGCTAAAATGCTAGAAATGCTACAAATGTTAGAACAATTATTTTCATTTTGAAATAAATAAGAGTCTCTTTTAATTGACTAGAAACGATTGAATAAATTTGTAAATATATTGAATGTATAGGTATGGGGATTATCAGAGGTTATCTAATTATCTATAAATAACAAATTTATTAATGCAAAAGAAATTATGTATTATTTATTTAATTATTTATGGTAAAAGGACTTTAAACTAAAATTAAACAACAGGATTAAAACAAAAAAGAAAAATGTAAAAAAATCATTTTTTTCTTGTTCTTTCATACAGGATGTCTTGATCAATCTACTAATTGATGTAATTCAGAGCTTTAACACAGTCTTCAACAGCGAGAGCCAATAAAAGACACACTGTATATATTATTGAATAAATTAAATGCCCCACTTCCTCCTAAATATAACTAATTTGTTATTAATGTTCAAGTAAACACTGAGTGCCAGTAAAATACAGATTAATTACGAGAAATTCATTATCTGGTAATAGATTCGTCGCTGTTAGTGGGAATCGTTTCAAAATAATAATAATTTATATTATAAATTCCAATAAGGCTTCGGAGTAAAAACAATTTCGGGAAAACGTGCATTTCCAAATTTCGAGGGAGCAATTATTTTAATACGATTTTGGAGTAAACACGCTGGAGATTTCTGGAAAATTATTCGAGTGGATAAACGTATTCCGACCTTCAAATTATTCAATTGAGGCGAATCTAGTAATTCAATATAAGATGGTTGTGTTAACTTAACAAAAACCAAAAACCTGAAGTTAAAATAAATTTTCACGCAGTCTATAACTGGTAAAATAAACTAATCAGTCCAGGAATTGTTGAATTAACCTCGTACTTGTCTTTTTAATTAATTCGCTGACTGGAGTGAATGAAGGTAAAACGAGAAAATTAATTATGGGATTTTATTCATCAATTTTTCATGCCCTTCCGGAGATTCTTTGAAGTCCTAATTGCCCCAACTTTTAATTATTTAATGTTTACGCTTCCGATATCTTAACACTTTTTGCTTGTATTTTCTAAGTAGGCACATTCATTAGGTAGGTAACATGAAAATTAGTATTTTTTAAACGTTTAATTAATTATTTCAATCTATATGTAGGTCAAATTAAATTGGATTTTTCGATGTTATAACGAGTAATAACTAAGTAAAAAATAACAAACTCGAGCGAGAAAAATTAGGTCAAAACTGAAGCGTAATAAAACCATTTTAAATACTATCTAGATATGAAGGAGAGAAAATGGCAGATTTATAGCACAGCTTAGTTTTGTACGGAGCAGAAACGTGCATCCGGATCACACCGAAAATAGCTAAAAACGAACAAGGACAATGGAAATAGATGCACTAGATACCAAGAAAATCGTGTATTTTTCACAAGAGCACACGTGAGCAATATCGATATAAAAGAAACCACACCAAAAGTGCAAAATACAGCGAAATACTAGTTGTTTTGTAACGCCTTCGAGAAAATACTCGAAGGATATAAATGAATACCAAAAGTATCAGATATAGTAACACAGAACATTTATTGAGTTAAGAAAACGTGTGAACGTTATTGGTAAAATAATTGAGGTTGAAGTACAAATTACTAAAAAAATGTAGTAAGAGGAAAAATAACAAGAAGTTCAAATAATTGAATGGACAGCACGATTACCAGATTTATCTCCATGGAGTGCACTAACTAAATGATTGATATATGCACTAATATCGCAAACAGTCGGTGCAAAACAAATATCAATGCACGTCAACTAGCTATAATTTATTAGGTCACAAGTAGGCAGTGTTGCCAAACTATTACAGCCTATAGAGTTTACAAAATCTAAGAATTTTCTAAAATTGTCAAATGGCAAAATGACAAGAACCAATTGAAAATTAGGGGTACCTGTTTCACGTTTCTAAATATATTTAATAGTGCCAGTAAAATTAATGTACAATTGACCCTTAAAAGAGTACATAGTAAAATTTCTGAGAACACTTCTGAATCTGAATTATTTATAGAGCTCCAATTGTGTTATTTCTAACATGTTGAAAATATAACTAAGCAAAAAATTCTTATTTCTTGATTATTCGGCTTAATATAGCCTTTAGTAGTTGAGACAAGTAAATTAGAAAAAATAAGAAGAAAGTGAAAATTAAAAGTACAGATCGGATGACAACGGCAACTATGCAACTTGACAGTCAGTGCCTACCAACCTACTATAAGAAAATAATAATAATTTTATATACAAACGTAGAATTTTTTCAATATATATTTTTGGATGATTTTATTATTCTGCTTTTCAACATTTTTTATCATCCTTTGTTATTATTTAATTAAATTGGGCACAATGCTTGGCAAGTATGACGACAGAAGTGACGTGCATTGATATATGTTTTGCACCAACAATATACATGCACTAACTGATATCTTAAATGAATATAAGTCACTTCATTTTTAGTGGCTGTGGTGGTGGCCTTTTTCATATGTTGGGCGCCCTTTCACGCCCAACGCCTCCTAGCCATCTACGGCGGGAGCGTGGAGGCGGAGAAGAGCTCCTACATGATCATGGCCTTCCGAATACTGACGTACATAAGCGGCATATTCTATTACATCTCGACGACGGTGAATCCTCTCCTCTACCACATTATGTCGAACAAATTCAGGGAAGCCTTTAAGGTAAGTCCATGAAATTGCTTTTCAACATTCTCCATATACACACGCGTACGCACCCTTCTGTTCCGAAACCGTACTCGGTAAATTAAACTTTCCCAGCTAAATCGACGGGGCACATCCAATTTAAAGTTGATGGTAAAAAAAAACTCAGAACCAATCGTTTACAATTACAGGGTGTATTTCATACACAACGGATTCCGTGTGTTTTTTTTTGCAGAAAACCTACAAGCAAATCTGCAGGAAAAGCCACCAGCTTCCTGCAGGTAGGTGTTACTCGACATTGTCTGGTCACCAACAGTCATACAGCGATTCTTACAGTGGCGGCGGGTGGGCGGGAGGCGGTTCGTTGCGCTACTTCGATGATTCGGTAGCGATGCGTTTGCACGACCACCGACGCCCGCTGGTCGTCTCCTTCAGGAAGCACAAGAGGACGCCGTCGCGGCGCCAGGAGGCGGCGCCGCCCGCCGGCTCGCCGCTGCGGCTCAGAGAAAACGGCGCCGCCTCGCCTGCCTCGTCGCCCGGCCTGCCCAGGTTGAACGAATGCGATTTCAAAAGTAAGAAATTTTTTTATATTCTTCCATTTGTTAGTCAATTATACGCCTAAGAGAGTCAATTATCCATCCAAGAGAGTCGATTATTTTTCCAGATGATTCAATGATATACCCAAGAGAGTCGACTAGTTTTACAGTTTTAATTATCTATCTAAGAGAGAGTCAATTATCTTTCCAAAGTTTCTATTTACCATACCCAAGAGAGTCCAGAACAAATCCAGGAGAGTCGATTGCATCATGAGGGTCAATTATCTGCCCAAGAGAATCGATTATATACCCAAGAGAGTCGATTATCTATACAATAGAGTCATTTAGGTACTTATTACCTTCTCTTTAGAGGCTTATTCGCCCAAGTTAATTTTTAATCAACATTCTACCTAATCAAACCTACAAAACTACCCAGATTCATCCACCTAGTAGTCGTATCTACTCTAGAAAATTATTTATATAGGTACTCCAGTATGTTATTTGCCTAAACTTCATCTACAATCTACAACAGAATCAATTATGTATCCCTAAGAGAGTCAACTCTTCGCTTGAAAGAATGTTCCTTACACATTTTTGAAGCTGTGTAAATTGGTTTGTTTAAGGTTGCGCTGGGAAAATGAGACCATCATTCACCTTTTCGAGTCCGCTGGGAGCCGAGAGGGTGGTGATAGAAAAATCCCGTTCGTTCGTCAAACACCGATCGACGTCGGAGTTCCAGGATATTTTGAATTGTTTGGACAACGAGGATGATCGCTATATCGATTCGCACTACTGGAGCGAGTCCGGCAAACACAATGGCAGGAAATCGGAGAGTGGAAGAGACTCCGAGACGAATTGCAGTTACATTGAAGTGCATACGTTGAGGCCTAAGCATATTTGTCCATTGAGTAATAACGTTCAGTAGATTTGCGATTTTGCCAATGATTTATTTTGCTGGAAAATTTAAGGGAAGTGGAGATGTGTGCGATTATTCGCGAGAAAATGCTACCTAGTGATTTTTTATTTCTCTAATTTTAATTAGAAAATGAAATTATATAGGGTGTATTTTGTATAATGTCTCCCACAAAGCTAAACGTGGCTCTAAATCTAACTTGTGATTACTGTACTTAAAGTAAGCAAGCTTTACATGAATGTGTAATATACTTATACTAATTTTGTATACAGGGTAATTCTTAAATGTAATATTTATTTCTCAATGTTTTAAAAACACTATAATATTCATCTTAAAGTTGAGTACAATCGCCTGAAATTCGCTTGAACTGTGATTATCGACCATCTAAGATTTATTAAATTAAATACTCAAAATATGTTGCCAAGGGAAGAGAGAACTGATATTTATACACAACTTTAAGCTGGATGCCATAAAATCCGCCCCGATTGGGGTTTGTGTTCTAATCTATCATAGAATTACTCGACATTTTCGAAATTATCGAAGACAAATCACCCCGCTTATTGCGATATTTAGCGTTCGATAACAATTTTAAACGAATACATAAATGTGATGTTATTTCCGATCCCCACTTTTCAAACGATTAATCGACGTTTGAAAATCAAAATGGCCTATCTGTCGGTTAAGTCGAATTCCAAATAAATTATATTCGTATGTTATTAATATTACTGATATTTGTAAATGTGAGAAAATATGTGTAAATATGTCTAATTTGTGATTCTATATGTTCGAGCACGTACAATGACCGTTCGTTTATTGAAATGTAAATGTTAAACGACAATAATTGTTAGACAAATCGAATGTTTAATCAAAACGAGCAGATTAGTGGAGGAGAATTTCGATGAGAGAAAATGTGGTCATTGCATGAATGGCTTTTTTATTTAATCAGTTTGCCAATAAAGTGCAAAACTCGTACTTATTTAATTAAAATCATAAATAATCAAATTTGTTAACTTGGTAACTTGTTATTTAATTATTTTTGTAAGAGAGTTTAGGTTGTGTTAAAAATAAGTTGTTATAGCTGTAAATATTCGAATTTTAATTATTACATTTAAGTGTATTTTATGTATATTTTTATGGAATTTACTGTGATACGCGTCATTTAAAAGTAGTTCAAATACATTGTTGTCTGTTAATACATTATCAATAAACTATTTAATTTGATATTAATTTGTACATACCAGCAGATAAATGATTTGTTATCAGGAATATATGGGTTAAAATAATACTAGGAAACGTTAGGGAAAATACCTATGCATTTGAACAATCAATACAGTAAATAATATCTTCTATCTTCTAGGGAACAAGATTGGTTACGGGTGGGCAGCAAATTCCAGCGTAACTGAAACAAATTCATATATATGAACAAAACTACAAAAAATAATAAATCCACAACTCACTTATTTTGTACAATGCAAGAAACGCTTTCATAGGCTTGGAAATCCGTCAATAACGAATAAACATGAGGACACTGAGAAAGCAAAGTACAAGTACCGATTTCTGTGTTATTTTTCGGCGTTCCGGTACAATTTTCTGTCCCTAAAATGGATACGTGCTCACCCAGATCGACCAGAGCTAAAAATAACATCAATATTTAATTTCGAAACAATACATTTTAATATCAATTCGATTCAATTTGTAAATACCTAATTTTACCATAGAATTATTATCTGCCTTTGTATAACTTACTTCCTTTAATAGTGAGTGTATTATTCGGATTCAAAACGTTACTCAGCCAGGGTAATCTTTTAACAAGTACCATAGGTATAGGTACAGGCATAGGTAGAGGTGCTGGCACGGGGACTGGATCAATGACTGGATCAAAGACTGGATCCAAAGCAGTAGCCACCATTGGCTTACTATGATAGTACCTGCGTCCTGGAATAAGGTAATCTAGTTAATAGAAATGTACCTAATTTTTTAATTTACCCAAGTGCTGACTTACTTGATTGTCCTGCCATCAGAGGTGGTCCGTTTAAGCCTTGGAATGCCGTAGATGTTCGTAAGAAGGAAGATTTGCCGTAATAATGTGCACCTGCAACAACGAAAAAAACATAATAAAAATCGTTCAAAGCGGCCATTAAATTATTAAACAGATTAATGACATAAAAGTTATTGGAAATTGCCAGTGTAAAATTACCTGGTGACATTCTCATAGGCACCATGGATGCCGCATACCCAAAACCTCCCCTCGAGCCGCCTAAAACACCTACATATATAAAACAATAATACCAAAGACAAACTCAAATATCTAGTATTTTATTCAGTAGCCTACCATGTTTTTTAGACGCATCTTCGGTATCAGCAACGCTGCTATCATTAGGCTTCACCACTACCAACGAACTAACATCCGTAACGAAGGAGTATTTCAACGCTAAATCTAAAGCTTCCTTGGTCAAAACCGTTTTATTTTCAGCAACTTTTCTCTCCTCCAACTTTTGCTTGATCGTCAAATAAGCCCACAATCTTTCCAAAGAACCCACCGGCTTCTCCTCCACAGAACGGAGCTCAGTAGTTCCGTTCAAATGCGATCCAATTATCGTGCACTGCAATGTTTTCTCTAAAATTATACATAATTACGTAACAACGAAGTTAAATATACAATCGAAGATAGAACCTTTCGTTCGTCCGGCGACCACGAGTTCGCCTCCTTTGAAGTAGATAGGGAAGACCCTCTTCGGCACGTCCTTCACCTCGGAGGTGTATTTGAAAGTGATATGAGCCAGTAGAGGCGACGATATCTGCTTGTAGAATTCCTTCAGTTGTATAGCGGCGTCGGGTCCTTCGTATATGTGCCTGGCGAATCCGTTGTTCTTCAACGATATCTTCCGCAGGAAGTTCTTATCGGCGCCATCGCCGAAGGACAGCGAGAACAATGGTACTTGGTCTTTCTCCGAGTTGATTTTCGTTACCTAAAAGTACGTGTAATGGAACAAATGTTCGATTAGAACGTTCATTAGACTTACTATACTTGTAATATCGTCGGTGTTGGTGTTACCAACTGTCGGATCGCCGTCTGTTAGGAACACGACGATTGGTTGTTTAGCGCCTCCTTCTTTACCTTTCTTTACGGCTACATTGACCACGTGAAGCGCCGTTTCTAAACTCGATAGAATGTTAGTTAATGAATCGTCTTGAAGCAATCCGATCACGTGTTTTCCTTTAGCCACTGACTCCTTGGTTACCGGAACAGCAGATGGATATTCCTTTTTCTGAAACAAAGTTTATAATAAAAACCGAACAAAACTAGTCAATTTTTCCACTTACGAGTAAATCCTCGAAGGGCTCCTTCTCGTTTTTGATATCAGCCCAAACTCTTTCTGGCTTGTCGATGTCCCAAACGAACACGTTGGTGTTGAATTCGATAATGTGGAAAGAGTCTCCTTCTCTTAATTGATCGAGAATGCTAACCATAGCTTCTTTGAGTTGCTCTATTCTCCTTCCGAACATGCTACCACTGGTGTCCAAAACGAACACTATGTGCTTGGGCAGAGCAGGCAAATCATCAGGAGCTATAAAGTGAACGAAATATCCGTCTTGAAGAAGAACCTGTAATTAACATTTACACAAATATCACCCATTAATGGATATAAAATAACAGAAATACCTCTCCATTATTGGATTCCCTTTCCACGTCATATTGTAGTACGAATTGCCCGGACAGTCCGTCGTTCTCTTTGCCTCCCAATTCCTTAGCGAACTCCTTCTGTTGCATGGCGTTGGGTTTGAAAGTTGCCACCGCGCTAGTGGAATTGATAATTTCTATCTGAGTTTTCGGGTCCAATTCATTTTTGGACTTGGAAATTTCGTTTCCAGTTCGCAGAGAGGGCGTACGCACGAATTGCAACGGTCTGCTTTCGTTTACAAACACCTAGAATTGGATGTGTTAACTGAAGGTGAGTGAATGTAGAGTTAAAAATTTACTTCAATGTTCATGTCTTGGACAATTTGGCCCGGGTTGACGTTAAGAACTAATTCGTATTGGGAGTTTCTTCTTTGTAATAGCTCTTCGTAGGTTAGCAGGAATGTGACTTTCTTTTCGGGTTCCACGTTAACTGATACCGTGAATCTGTTAGAATCTCTCACGCTTGTTGCTACATGACCAGCTGATCGTCCACTTTGAACAGCCTAAATAGATTTCAATATTTAGGTAAATAACGAAAAAATTAACAGTAAAAATACCTTATCGTAAATAGCTTTGGCTTCTTCTTTTTCCTTGACGTACGCCTTGTAACTTTTTCCATCGATTTCCATGACAAACTCGGAAATGAAAGCGTTTTCCGGCAAAACAACGCTAAACACCACCTCATTTGCATTGGCCGCCGGGTTTTTAACTTTGCTGGTTATCAAAGTCTTGGCGAAGCGATTGGAGATTTTCGATGTGATGTTGAATTGATCTATGATCGCTTCGGGTTTATGTTCCTAAATTAAATAAAATGAAATCGATTAATTATGCTCCACACCAACAGATATCTTATATTTAGAGTTTACTCTCTTTATTAATTTAACTAACTATTAATTTCGAATTCTTACCTCTTTGTTTGATGGTGGAGGTGGTAAAGGAGATAAAGAAAATGAAGGTGCAAAACCCGGATCTATAGGCTGTGGCGGTATCGGATAAATTGGAAGAGGCTTGATTGTAGTTGAAGGAGTTACCGGTGTGGGATCGGTGGATAATACCAGAGAAACCGGATCGTTTCCCAACACCCACCCCAAGCACAAATTCGCCAGAAAGGCGGTAAAAATTACTTTCATAATTCAACTATTATGTCACTGGTACAATTAAGTTGAATATTGATTGTAATTGATTGGTTTTCGGTTTTATATACTGTTTTTCCCGTAAGGTTATCAAGGATATTAGTGTTATTCGTTGATTGAAGGGGCAATTGGAGCAATCTATATTATTTGTTGTGTTGTTAGCGCTGATAATCAAGTTATAAATAGTAAATACATGGAAATGAAAATGTACTTTAGAAAATTGAACTTCTAATTTTGCAATGGTATCCTTAGTATCATTAGAATAAGTAAATAATTTAGTATACAATAGGAATGGGACATCCGGTAATAATTTTTCAATGCTTGCTAATTGGGTTAGTGTTGTAATATCTCTTGGAACCTCCGATTACTTATCAGTATTATTTTTAAAAATATTTAATATAAATTACCGTATTTATTATATAGAATCCAAGAATTTTTGTTCTTGTGACTTAATAATTTCTTGGTATTATTCGATTTTCTAGTTGGAGAATACGTACAGGGATAATTAAAACAGCATCGAACATATTTTTATGAAATTAAATATGTTTGTAATTTGATAGGTTGACATTTCTATTATTGCAGAAAATTTAAATTCCAATTATTTTATACTTATTTTAGACTCATTATGAATTTTTCTGTATAGGAATTTTATTTTTCTATTTGAAATAATTCGAGAATTCAGAAAAACTATACAAATTTATAAATCACGTAAACGTGCCAATCTGTGCAAAAACCAGTAAAATAAATTAACTATACTCAAAATGCCCTGATAAGGCTACATTACACCTAGCCAACATTCTAATAATGGACACCAATCTCGACAGGTTGTTGATCATTCATCGGGAAAAACTCCTAGAAAGTTTAGGAAAAACCGAAAATGAAATCAATGAAGACGTAAATATAATACTAGAATGGTTTAAAACTCAGAAACATCTCCCAGAACCTCTTAGTAAGTATTTTATTATTTAATTTAACAATATTACTAGCACAAAATATTCTCTTATTGCAACCATAACTGGCATTTATCTACTCAACTTTAAGTTGTACATTATTTTACTATATCTACTGATTTAATTAATAATTTGTAGGTAGACATGCGATCGCAAGATGGCTGGTGTTAACTAAATTTAGCATCGAAAGAACCAAACAATTATGCGACATGTACTATACATCCAGGTCATTGTTTCGGGATGTGTACGATTGTTGCGATATAGAACAACCCGAACAGAAATTGTGCATAGAAAAAGTATTGTGAGTTCACATGACGTCGTTTATTAAACAAGTTAATTATTCTGTTAAATTTTCAGTTATTACATTCCTCTTCCGAAACAAACTAGGGATTTCTACAGGGTGGACGTGGTAGCGTTTCAGGACTTCGAATACGAAAATTACAATCCTTACAGGATGTTGGCACAAGTGCACATGATTTACGAATTGGCTATGCATAAGGATTTCGAAGCGGGCGATATTGTAATTATCGATTTCAAGCATATAAGGAAGAGCTACGTGTTGAAAACGACACCCACGAGCCTTAAAGTACTCAATATTTTTTTAGAGGTAGAATATTTAATTGTAATTTTAATGATTGCTCTTAAAGGAAGTTTTAATTGTAATTGGTATGCATTTTTCAGAAAATTTGGGCAAGTAGAGTAAAAGGCATTCATTTCATCAACGTGCCTACTTATGCGGAAACTCTAATCAAAATAGCCAGGACGATACTTAAGAAGAAACTATTAAATAGAGTGAGTTTTTAACACTAACTAGTAAAGAGTTTATAACATAAATAAAAAATGATTACTCGTAGTTGTATGTACACAGTAACATCGAGAATTTATACGAATATTTACCCAGGGAGATTTTACCGAAAGATTTTGGAGGCGATGAAAAATCATTGGCGGAATTAAACGGTAAGCAATTATTAAAATCGAATAACCCTAGTTTTGAAGGCCACGAATTTGTTAGAAGAAAAAACCCGATGCTTTACACGCTCCATTTTTTCCTTGTTATTAATTGTTATGAATTTTTAGAATTGTGGAAATCGGAACTGGAGAAAAACAGCGAACGTTTGAAGCATTTACAGAAATTAACAGTTAATAACTCTCTTCGAACGGAACCTTTGATTAATTCAGATTATTTGGGCTATTACGGAAACTTCAAAAAATTGGACGTCGATTAAAAAAATCGTCCAATAAGCCCACTTTTTAATAAATAATTTAATAAACGTATACTTTTTGATTGTGTACCTACAATGTTTATTTGAACTATCACCAATACCCAAAATTATCCTACTTTTAAGTGGCCCTATTATAAGATTAAACTTTTACCAACACAAAATTCTACAATCGATTCTTCCGAAGAAGAATATTGCGTGCCCCTAGCACATAGCCCCCTACAATATATTTCATTTTCCGCATCGAAGTCCCATAGTTAAACCGAAACGTTCACATCGTGTTACGAATTCTTCAGCAAGCACGCAAAGCACCGCCTAGCACCGGGATAATCTCCCGAAAGGATATTTAAAAATCGTTGTAAAAGAAATCCAGGGTGAAATACTAGCGGTGAATGTTGCTTTATCCGGTCACAAAAATTATCAGGTTATAACAATAAGTGCAGTTTGTATTAATACTACAAGTTGAATTAATATTTTTTACGTTTATGTTTGCTTTAATAATCAATTTGGCGATGCTCGATTGTGGTTAAATTTGGCGAAATTACAAGGCATATGTGGATCCCCCCGTATAGCCTGAGCGAAGGAGTTGATAAAAGGAGAGACGACGCTGCGTCGTTTTCCAGTTATCCGGGTTTCCGCGTAGGATGTATAACGGCAGCGGGAAAAAATCACGTCCGTCTACCGGTTACTTAGTCAGACCGCGATTGGGCGCTCTCAGGTCAGTCTACTCCAACAGGCCCTTGTCCACCATGTCGCCCGAGAAGAGGAAGAAACTGAAGTGAGTGACAATATTAAGAAATATTTTATGTAGAGCCCTCCGGCCTAAGAAATAGGTACTCTAGATTTTAAATCTCTAAATTTTTGGCTCTTCAATTCATCTTAAAGGAGCTGCAGATTTTTTGGAAGATGGCTCTATCAATAAAAAACTTTAGATGAGTAGTGCTTAAAACTCCTAATATTTTGGTTCTGAACACAAGTCTGATGGTGGTTGCTTATACCGAAACTAGTTGCCTAGTCTATCTTATTTTAGTACATTTATTTTCCAATAGAGTGTGCTAGTTTGAAGTTGTTTACAAATGGGCATAACTCATTATTTCACTTAGCAACGGTTGTTTACTATCTGAATTAAAAATCGATGTACCTGTTTGAGATAAATTAAGATAATAATTTATAAAATAAATTTTATATATCATAATTACTTACAATATACGCGTATAAAGTGACAGTATTGATTTTCTTCGTGATTTCCCTGAATACAAACAAATGCGTCTATTTCGTAATTGTGCGTGTACTTATACCTTCCCTACACATACTCTGGTAGGTAAATGAACCTTATACACCAATAAACATATATAAATAAACTAAGAAACATAAATAATTAAGATTGTTGTTCGATTTAGAAAATCTGGATTCCCCAAAATGGAGTGGAGGAAGAAACCGGACTACGCAGAAACCGCCTACAGAGAGGCCGTGGGCCGGTTGAGGATCCTCTTGGCCGAGAGCTACACCCCGATCAAAAGACCCTTCCACAAGGACCTGGACAGCGCCGGCGAAGAAACCGACAATCAGTCGCTGATGAGCGCCGGCAGCAAGAATTCCCGCTTCAGCAGGCACTACTACTACAATCCCGCCGTTCCCAGGAGATATTACTACCCGACTTTCCGAAATCAGTTCCAGCACTTGAACGTCGATCCAGAAAAACCTCTACCGTAAGTCTAAAGCATTAATGCATCTCAGTACTACTTTTGATCTAACTTCATCGATAATATTCAGGAATCTTCCCAAATACGACAGCTCAGCTCCTCCTGAACTTCTCTCTTTCATCGAAAGACAAGAAGATTACATCGAGCAATTGGAGAAGGAGTCGCGCTTTTGCCGAGTAATTACTCCTCATTCAACTCACAATATTCGATTTTATCTCGCTATTATTACAGGAAGAATTGTCTTCTTTGTTGGGCAAAGTCAAAGACGTCATCAGCGAAAACGAGAATTTACACGAGAGACAAAAATCGAAATTGATCAAATCGGTGTTCGATCATTTGGAAACCGAAACCGAAACGGAAACGGAGTTAGAAAACAAACTGGTAAGTTACTTAGTGTTTGCTTGGAGTTTGGCTACTAATTTGTCTTGTCCAGGCTTTAAAATCTCCGAGGAAACAAAGGAAAACCACACCCTCCGAAGGACCAGCCATCGTTTTCGAATCCAGAATATCCGAACTGGAAGCGCAATTGACCCAGTGCAAAATCGATCTGAAGAAATCCCAAGACGACAACGAAACCCTCAAAAGGAAAATTAACGATGGCACTATATTGGACACGTTCGGTTGCGAATCCTTCAAAAAACAACTGGAGAACTTACAAAAGTAATCACTGAAGCTTATTCCTTAGCAATACTATTAGTCTAAACAACTAATTTTAGAGAGAACAATACGCTGCAAGAAACCATAAAGAAGCTGCAAACTGCACTATCCATGTTCAAAGAAAAAGAAAACGATGTAACCGATAAAGTCAAAAGAAGCTTGGACGTGGCAGAACAAGCTCAATACGAAAAAGGTGTAGCAGAAGCAGAAATAAGACGGCTCAAAGACGAATTGGACAGACAACACATGAAGCTCAGAGACGCCATTGGTGAACAAGTAAGCTTATCATTACATCTCTTCAATTCCAGCAAACTCTAACGATTGATTATTTCCGTTATAGAGCAGGAGAATATCGGACGAGAGAAGCGCAGTGGAGAGAAGATACACGCAGCAAATCGAGCAACTAACAGCCGAACTGGGCGTGCAATGGGAGAGCACCAACAAAATGCAAATGGAGCTGGACAAGCAACGCAGAGAGAACGCCGATTTGCGCCGCGAGGTGGCGCAGAAACAAGCTCTCATCGAGGAGCTCAGAAAGGACATGCAGAGCAAAATTAGTGAGTCGATACGCTGCTAGAAGTGCGCGTAGATTCGAGCGCTCATCGGTTTTGATGTTGCAGTTACTCTACAATCGGACATCGGAGTAAGCGGAGCCGAGAAAAGCGCCCTCGAACAGCAAATATCCACGCTACAACTGGCCAACGAGCGAAGCGATCGGCAATCCAAGCAGGAAATTGCGCGCCTGCAGGCCGAGCTGCAATCGCTGCGACAGAGGCTGGATAGAGCCGACGCCGATTTGATACACAGCCGCAGGGAGAACATCAGATTATCCGAACAGATCGCTTCCTTGGAAAAAGAGGTACAGTGATGTTCACCATGATACACCAGGGCTCTCTAATGGGTAATGCACCACGTTTACAGATAAACATGAACGCGGCTCTATCGGAGGAAAAGAACAAAACCCCGAGGGGCGGCGAGATCGTCGCGCTGCCGCCTCCGGCTCCGAAAAAGGACGACAGGGAATCGGAGCTGAGCGCTCTGATTAGCGACATGGAAAACAAGCACGGTAAGTGAGCGGACGGGCCGAGCGGCCGAACGGGAGGTTTCCCGTGAGTTGAACTGGGAGAGTTGACGTGAATTTGGGGGAAAAATAAAATTGATGATGTTTTTGCAGCGGCCACGGTCGCCGAGTTAGAGGGCATGGTCTACTCCCAGAATCAACTCATGGAAAAACTGTCCGACGAATGTCGCGCTCTTACTCGAAAGCTGGAAGACACCACCGGCAAGCATAAGTAAGCATTTACTGTAATACTCGCTTGAAATTGGAATGCGCTCGAAATCGGTTAATAATAAATAAATAGTTGACTTGCGAATTGGATAATAATTGACTTGTGTTTGGTAGGGACGGACCAGCTAAGTCCAAAAAGCGGGTCCGATTCGCCCCCAGTCCGGCCCACCAAACGCAAGGAGCCCATTAAAGTCGATATTAGCGTTAAAGTGATGCCCAAACCTCGAAAGGTCAGTTCAAATTCGCCCGGATTCGCCCAAATTTAACTTGCATTTAGGAAAATATTTTTATTTTCGCAATTTCAGCGGGCTTCCTAAAGGGTACCTCATTGGTTTATGTTTTTTTACAGGGAGGAAATTCGCGAACTACAAACTAACATAGAATATTTGAGCAATAAATTTAGCCAGTATTCGACGTCCAGTTTCAAAGGTAAACAACAATTATTTTTGTAATTAATATACTCATTAATGGCTAATTCCTTAGGTGAAGAACCCCTGTCGACGAATACTGAAAGGGCACCTCAAGCAACAAACCTCCAACCGACGACAGAACCATCAGAACCATCGGAGACACCAGTACACAACAAAGGAGATGAACATAACACAAATGATCAACAACATTCTCTAAATCCAGCTCAACCTGATTACCAATACACTCAAGAAACACCGGATCAGTACCAATATGATCCTAATTACGATCCCAATCAGTACGATCCCAACCAACAGTACGACCCCAATCAGTACGATCCTAATCAAATGTACTACCCCAACGAGCAGTATGACGAGCAGAACCAGCAGTATAGCCAGCAGGATGAGCAGTACAATCAGCAGAATGAGCAGTACGAGCAAATTCAAAATCAGGAGTACGCTGGTGATCCTAACCAACCACCCGAAGCGGGTGTTGTTGGGGATAGTAATCAATCGTAATTCCAAATCAATAAATTTAATAGATTAGTTGTTATAGAATGTTAGCAGAATGTAGTGTTAAAAATGTTGGTTCCAAAGTGAAAGTTTTTACTTACATATCCTGCTGGCATTCTAAATGAGTTATCGAAAATGGTTTCGTAACTATTGGAATTCATGTTTATTAATGAGCTACTCGAGCGTTATTGTAGAATGTTGTTGATTTTTGAAATTTCATATTGTGTATACGGAGTTAAATTTTAGATCGTAGAAATGTATTTATTCATCTATATAATCTTTGTGCAATCTTTTCTTTGAGAAACAAGTCAATGTGTTATTTATTGATATAATCTTTTTATTTTTTTTACAATGTATCTACAGGTTTTTGACTTTTTGTTACGCTTTAAATTGCCTTAAATGTATTATCTTAAATTAAACATTGTACGTCAAGTTTAAAACACTTTCTCATAAAAATAAAAATTTACACAATACTAAAACCGCCACTAAGAAACTGGTAGGTTTAGGTTGAAACGCAACGCCAGGACTATCCTCAATTTTCTCGAAACTCCTCGGAAAATCATCCTTTAAATCGGCGATAACGTAAGCTACTGACGCCCAAAGAGCAGTAGCCTTGTCCAAAGCACTGGGATCCAATACGTCCATTGTATCAGCTTCACTATGATGGTACCAAAAGTATCTATCGTTATCGTTCAGGAGGCTCGCAGTAGGGATCAAGTCTTTCCAAATGCTGATATCTGAACCTACTGCATCGTCGCTATTTTGAGCAGTCGTTGCATTTATTGGAGCTAACAGTCTGCAAGAACGTTTATCCAGGTTTGATAGTTTTAGAGGTTTCGAAATACTTACTTCAATATCTCCTCCAAAATGCAAGCTCCTTTTGTTCCAGCTCGGAATATAAGCCCCAATGGTGTGAACGTTCCTTCATCAGATTCCATCACAAAAACGAAATCATCCAATTCTTTTTCGTGGGTTTTATTGTAGCTTTGAACGCCTATCAGGCCGTCTTCTTCGCTGGTCCATAGTACTGCTCTGTTCGGAACAACAATATACATTCCCACTTAGATACATTCTAGATATAAACAAGTACCTTACGGTCCGTTTGGGCCTCAATCCTAACCCTTTCAACACCACCAAGGAATACCAGGATATAAACGCGCCGCCTCCGTCATCCATAGCTCCTACCCCCACGTCCCAGCTGTCCAGATGACCGGAAACTATCACCGTTTTGTCAGGAATCGAAGACCCCTTCAACTCCGCTACAGTGTTTCTGGAAACACCATCAGGATCCACTTGCGTCTGGATGTTCAGTCGCATACGAACCGTTACATTGCGATCCTGTAAACAACCAGAAATAAACGGAGTTAAGGTAACTTATTGGTATAACTCACGTGGTATCTTTGCATCATATGCGCATGCTCGACTGTAATGCAAGCCGCCGGAATCTTTTTCACGCCATCGGTGTAGTCCGTTTGACCTGTATGCAGGGTGTTCAGAGAAAATGAAGTTACCGATCTCACTAAAACAGCTAGAGCTCCGCATTTCGCTGCTCTGGTAGGCCCTTCTGTTCGGTAGACTACCGATACGCCGTAGGATACGAAATCGTTGTTAAACACCACTATTTTCCCTTCGGCGCTGCTTGGATTGGCGTCCAGTTCGTCGAAGGATCTGTAAACTACCACGTCCGCTTCTATGCCTTCGGTTGGGGTCGATATAGATCCTCCGAGAGTCAAAACTGGAATGTTCGCTGGGCGCGGTTGAATCATTTCCCCGGACTCTTTTCCTCTGGAAACTATCGAATTTTAATCACCAGTCGATAGAGGGGTGGGTAAATTTTGAGTGACAATAGGAGAGCTGGGTTTATTCTTGGGTTTATCATCTTTAAGCGACATTATTGATTGTTATCGATTTGTTTGGATCTGGAGTGTTGGTCTCGTTTTGTTTCAAAAACGAGGTTGTAAATATTTATCGAAGTAATTTGAACAAAAAAACATTCAATAAACCAGTAGATAAAATATAACTAATCCATGGATTTGTTACAATCAGCCAATGATCCAAACCTAACGCATTCAAGTTCATATAAAAAATATTATAATTAATGCTCTAATGAGATATATCGATAAGTTAGATTAAATATCGCGTAATTACGCTTAAAAAAATCACCTTATCCAGCGCGAAACCGTCACATTCTCCCCGTGCACGTTCTCCAAATCATAGTCCTTCGTCTGCATCAACTCCAGCAGGTAATCGATGGAGTGCTCCAGTACTTCCCCGCCGACCTGCCGGGCCCCGAACGTATCCACGAACTTGGCCAGCTCATCGTACGTCTTTCCCTTGTACTTCCCCGCGGTCACGGCGTCGATTATCTGATTGACCGGCTCGCGGTACGACCGGATCTCCTTGGTCAGTTCCTCCGGCAAATTGCATTGGCTCGCCGACGACAGCGGCAGCGCCGCAACTAGCAGGCACAACCATAAAACCGTGGTCATCGTCGCTAGATGATTGAATCGTACACTGAATTCCGATATTTTATGTCCGCGAACAGTAGGCGATTTGCTGGTACAATGCTAGCGAGTACATATGTTGTACATCGGCATCGAGTGCTGGCTGGTGTTATCGATGCCTGGGCATAGACGGCGGAGATAATCGGCATTCTCAGGGTCAATTCGTGGATTAATTGGATTTATAATGAATGATTAGACGTTGTAATGAGAGAAATTTATGACGGATGTAGATAAAAATGTAAAAAGTTTGTTTTGTTTGGAAAAGAGATGCTTTCCTCACTTGTAAAATATATGTTTGATTGCTTATTTACTGTGTATATTGTCTAATTTATACACAAATTAGGTACTTTAAATTTGCTTGTTTGTGTAGGTTTATATGCATGTAGGTATATTTTTTTTAATTCTATTCGATTAATGTATTTGTTCTCTTCTAATGCATCATGTGCATATTAGGTTGCATAAATGTAGGGATGTAAATAAATATCGATAAATATCAATAGTTATTCAATAATAAAATCAATCATTTTTTCGATAAATCAACTTTAAATATGATGCACAAATAAGTCAATTTTCCAGTACTTTGAGTAATAAATAACTACATCGAAAATTCCCATTTTTAATGTACGTAACGTGTATTATGTTTTAAATGTTTCTATAAAACAGTATCTTATCTGTTTCCTCTGATTCATTGTAATATAAACATCCATCAAAGAAGATCCGTCAGAATTTCCACAGAGTGATGAACGCATTGCGTGTATGTGGTCAAAGTTTTTCTCCTACACTAACATCCTTTGTAAATAATATGTACGGTCAATTAATTATCATTCTAATGGCGTATAGGTGTGAATTAGGTGTAAGTGCTATTAACTTTGATGTCCAGAGAATAACCGAAATTGGATTAGACAAAACTGCCGGGCTCGATGATACTTACTTCGGTTATTCGCTGATTTTGCAAACAGGACGAGATCCCATGTAAGTTTTTCGAATGACTTTAAAAAATTCAAATTAGGCGTAGTTAACCGACTTAATTAACCCGATAACTAAGTACTACCATATTTGAGTTTATTTATAGTTTAATTAGGTATTTTAAAATGTAGTATGGAAATATAGGTACCTATCGCGGTTACCTAATAATTGGCATTAAAAATGATAGTGGATGACTACTAGTAACTGTGTCGTAAACCCATTAAAATTTAATGGTATTAATTTTTTCAGGGTGATTGTCGGGGCACCAAAATATAATAATAACACTGGGGGTGCTATTTTTGGTTGTAGAATATCCGAGGAAAACCAATGCATCAAGTATTCTATATCAACATGTAAGTTGTTCTCATTAAATATCCAAGTACCCAAATAAAGAGAGATGTTTAATTGGATTTTAAAATGTATCGAATAAAAAATATATAACTATATCCCTATTTTAGCGATGATAGGCTCTTTTAACGGAAACTTCCTTGGAGGTGCCATCGACGGCGATGAAGAAACCGGCAAGCCATTCGTCGTAAGTAACTTATAAAAAGTAGACCCTTCGAGTGACACATTTTAAGCGAAATTTCAGGCTTGCGCCCCGAGAAAAGTCACCAGGAAAGGAACGGGAATCAACATGAATTACTTCCTAACAGGGAGTTGTTTCTACATGAGGAATTCCTCCAGTTTCACGTCCAGGCCTTTCGAAATTGTACCCCTGAAATACGAAGGTAGATTTTTAAACTTCAATACCAGAAGGTATTCATTTCGAGTTTATTTTTCCAGACGCAGTGAGCGCGATGAACGGTACTCATTATTACGACTACGCTTTCAGCCAAGCAGGCATCGATTTAGCCTATATGAGGGTAAGTATTTCCACTAGAGCTAGAGGAATTAAAAAACCAAATGTTGTTTTCTTCCAGGATTCACAAAACGTACTGCTCGGCGCGCCCGGTATAAAAAATTGGAACGGTAAGCGCATTTTCCAAATATCCCTAAATCAAATGCACTTCACAAATTATTTCCTTCAGGCGCTATAGTAATTCAATCACTGAAACTGTTCACGAGTCATCAAATAGTACCGAAGAGGCAATATCCCGTACACGAAGAAAATTACAATTACCTCGGTACATTTGACTAAGTATTACCAAATCCACGTACAACAATTCACCAACTCATAATTTCAGGATATACAGTGGGTTTAGGCAGCGCGGAAGAGGGCAGTTTCATGCTCGCCGGTGCACCGAGAGCCGCGGATTTGCTGGGAAAAGTACGATTGCAATTCTATCAATCCTCTACAAATAATTTTCGAAAATGTTTCAGGTAATATTATACGACCATAACAGCTTGTACAGGGACTTCAAGGGAGACGAGCTGGGCTCTTACTTCGGCTCCTCCGTTCTATCGGTGGATGTAAACGCCGATGGAACCGACGATTTATTCGTGGGTGCTCCAACCTCAGCTGGAGATAGTTTCGATGAAGGGTGCGTGTATTACTACAAAAACGTAAGCGTAAAATTGTTTATTAAATTTCGATGGTTGAGGAATTGGAGTTTGTTTCAGGCGCAACAACTCAGCGGGAAATTAGTTGGTATAAAAGAGGGTGGAGCTCGATTTGGTACAAACATAGCCTCTTTAGGCGACATAGATCTAGATGGTTTTAATGGTAGACAATTGGTATATAATTTAATAGTAATAATAAATTTCGTATTTTTGAAGATGTTGCAATTTCTGCTCCATACGAAGAGCAAGGAAGAGGTGCTGTGTATATTTTTATGGGTGGTGCTGATGGGGTTAAAGCCACTTTTGGACAAAGACTTACCCCTTCGAGTTTCCCCGGTGCTTCCAGATTGAAAGCGAGAGGATTCGGAATGGGGCTATCCAAAGGTGCTGATGTAGATGGAAATGGTCACAACGGTAAATTATAATTAACAATTAACTTTACAATACATTCTCCCTAATTTTCCAGATATAGCTATAGGCGCTTACAAAAGTGGCCAAGTATTTGTGGTTCAAACTAAATCAGTAATCGATTTTCGCACGGAACTGGATTCGAATTCTACGAAAATATCCTCAAGCGATACCCAGTTGGTGATTAACATGTGCGTTTTCTATGAGTTCAGGAGCAGGACTGGACTCGCGAGCAGTGTGGACTTCGAAATGTTTTTACAGCTGGACTACAGGGTGAAGGGTGAGAACATTCGCGGTTACAACATCACTGCTGCGCCTGGATTAACCGCGTGCAAGGAAGTAGAAGTGAAAATAGAAGTATAAATTTCGGTAGACGAGCAGGATGTAGGATTGAATTTTGGGTTTTCAGCAAGCTATAATCGACACCGAGCCGTTCCGTTTCACTTTAAAGACCCAAACAGAGGAGAGGGTGCTGGGCGAAGGGACGAAATTGGTAGAAAAATCCATACCGTACGCACATGGGTGTGGAGACGACGATATTTGCCAAACCCGTTTATTTCTTTCGGCTACAATTAAACAGTAAGTTTTTGAACTATTTTCGATAAATCAATCGATGTCGATTTTTTTGAAATTCCCGTAAAACAAATCTTCTTCGTTCCTTAATTCCTCCGGCCTCAGGGATTCGTTGACGTGCATGGTTTCCAGTTTCTGGAATCGGTCTGTGTATTCCAGTAGTTTCTTCTTCCACAATTCTAAAGATTTCAGTGTTATTTATTGAACATCGATTCAAAATTCTCTTATAATACCTTCCAATTCATCCAAAGATTTCTCTTTACCCCCGTAATCGCTGGGCAGCATTTCCTTCGGGACGTGTTCGTACAAATCTTCAAGTTTGCGGTGAATGAATATCTGGAATTTCGATAATTTTAAAATTTAGAAACTGAAAAATATTAATTCGAAATATGTACCCTATCTTGTAACTTTTTGCTCAGAAAACCCTTGAACATCGATATAATAACGTCCATGTAACTGGGAGGCGATAGGAAATGCAGCGCTTTCATTCGATTATTCTGGACTTTCTGCAACCATCGATTATTTATCAGTAAAACGATTAACCACAAAACGAATTACACACCTGCACAATTGTGGCAAATTGCTTGAGAAACGTCGGCGTCAGTTTATTCATAACGTTGAACTTCAGGTGCTCCGCGTCCAGTATCACAATATCGCCCAAAGCTAGATCTTCTTGCATTCGAATTTCGTAAAAATGGCTGACGAAATAGGATAAATATTTTGTAATATCTGCCTTATCCGGATCGACTTCCTTCATTTTACTTATTGCTATTCTATGTAACGATGGGGTGAGGTTTGGAAGCAATACAGCATAACTAAATATGAATCAATAGTTCAAAAGTCAAAAAAAATCATATAAAATATACAATACTTTACCCTGTATAAAGCATTATATCTAAGCTATTGCTATTTGGAGTATCGAAACCTCTGTACATTTCAGGCATGAGATCTCTTGCTGTGTAGCAAAAATCTATGTTTTTCTTGGTTCTTTCAATGCTGTACTTGCAATTTGTTAGGAAAAATTCTATCATATTATCACCTAAAAATGTGAAAATGATTATAATAAGATTGATAGTAATTGTTAAATGGTACCTACTTACTGGGAACTTCTGGTAAATGTTTCTGCGTTTTGGCCCAATTCCTGAGTATTTCGATGCACTGCTGTGCATCTTTTCCTGATTTTCCCCATTCCTGTCGAATTTTCTCGCGATCGGTTATCAACAGTTTATCGGTCATTCTGCTCCAGACACCAACTGACAATAAACTTAAAAACTCATTTATCTTTAAAATCCTTCCGAAATTAGAACTTGTTTATAAACAGGAATTTTGCATTATTTAACAAATTTTAATAATCACGTCAAGGTCAATTTATATTAAGATGTATTGCGTACGTTTTTAATTAATTATTTTTTATTTTTACCTCCTAATTGATAGAAGTGTTCATTGCAAATAATATAATAAGTTAATTTGCAACACAATAAAACAGTAAAATTTACATAATAAATTCCTCGATTAAATAATATCTAGTTATTTTTTACTACAATATAATTACATTTTACTCTGCATATTTTTTTAGAAACGCAATTATTTGGGGACTAACCAAATCGATCAATGTTAAATTATCGGCGAAAAATTTTGGAGAACCGGCTTATCAATGCCAGTTACTCATAACGAAACCTAAAACCCTGGAACTCAGAGAAGAAAAAAAATGCTCCGTGGAAAATTCGACTTATTCCTGCCCGCTCGCCAGGAAATTGGCCAAGGGGCGAGAAAAAGAGGCAAGTTTGGTCCCGGCCCCTTAAAACACAAATCGATTACGACGATTCGTTTCAGACATTCATCGATTTCGATATCGATGCCATCGGAGCGGAAGAGGAACAATTCGAGATAAACTTTAAAGTCGAGTGCCTCGGTGATAACATGTCCGAAGGGCAAGAAGAGGTTAACCTTAAAATCAAGATAGCCGTTCAAAATTCGCCCTATATCGAAGGGTAAGTTCTCATTTTTTCTATTAACTTTAATACTAAATTTTTTAACCGCTGTAAATTAGGAAATCCGTTCCGGAAGACTACGATTTGGATGAAGAAATCGATTCTGCTAACAACGATATCGAATTGGTGCACACATTCACTTTAGGTAATTTCGGACCTTCCCCTGTTAAATCAAATATCCATCTTCTCGTACCCATTGCGAAAATTGGTAATGATGATGTATTCCAATTGATCGAAACTGAGGTAGGTGTAATTATTTATACAAGGGTTGTTTAATAAGTTGTTGATGTTTCAGGGTAGTCTAAGGGGTATTGATGTACCTTGTTACTACACGAATGAAACTGAGAAATTCGATCATTCTTACGATACTTCATCTGTAGTTAAATATCCTTTATCAAGAACGGCTGTGTTGGATTGCTTTGGAGTAGGAGCGGATTGTTTAACATTAATGTGTGAAGGAGATTATTTGAGTAAATCGTCAGAAAGCGGCAAATATACACTGAAGTTTAAAACCAACAAAAACTTATTAGGTAAGTACTCTTACCTTGAATTATCTAAAATAATGTTTCGGTTTTTAGCAAAATTCTTTCAAAAACAAGAGCTTTCGAAAGACATTACGGCATTCATATCATCAGCCTATTTATACAGCAGTAATAATACGAGGTATGTACTCGAGGTAAATATTTTTTTATTTCGAGTACATTTTGGGTACATTTTTTTCAGAATTGAAGGCCATTCTACAACATTAATTCTGTCGTCTCGACCGAAAACTGTTCCGCTTTGGGTGTACATTGTTTCGTCGATTTCAGGGTTATTGCTACTGCTTATAGTAATATTTATTTTCTACAAGGTGAGAAAATTTCAGTTTAAAATCCTTTATTATTTAATAAAGTGTTGCCTATACTCTATTGCTAGCTAATTGGAGTAATTTTTGTGGTATTAATTCTTTGGATGTTTCAGTGCCACTTCTTTGATCGACGCTATAGAGACAAAATGAACGATCAAAGATTAATAGTGAGTATTTACAATTTTCCTAACAAATATTTCATATATCTTGTATACTCTTTACAATTGCATTGATCTTTTTAGAATCAACCGGTGGAAATCAATTTTGGTCTATCCGCACCATTCGAAGATGACAATACAGAGGAAATGACTGATCCTTTTAAATAAGTAGGTAATATTTATCATGATTTAGGATGATTCGTGATATTTATTTACGTATTTACACAGTTACTTAAATCTCTATTATTTGTAAATAGATTTACTTAATATTTAATAATCCTAAATAAATTATTCCTATTTGAATACTCGTACTTCAATATTTGCTTAAATGCAAGTACTAATAATTGCAAGAAACATTTGTAGTTAATTACGCCCATTCAAGCATTTTAACGTAATTTTTGCGATAGTAGAAAAAATTATGTACAAGGTGAGAAAATGAGTTTTATTCTACACACATATTATCTACAGAAAATCATTTTGCAAAGCGTGCCTCAATAACAGAACTATAGTCTTGGCGTATTCATCATTATAATCGTTTCCGTACTTTTCCACAGCATCGCTATCGTTCAGAATTTTATTTACGTCCGGCAGTTCCTTCGTAGTGTCCCGGTGCTTCATAGAGCACATTAAAGATCCCATGAACAGGCCGAACACCGAATACTTCTTCCACTCTTCCTTCATCACATCGAACGGATAAACCTCCTCCGCCTTCGAGCCGTAGCGCAGCAACTCCTCGCTCAGGCTCTTGTGGTAAACTTCAAGAAACTCATCTAATTTATCCAGCATGCTGTGGTAATCCGCGCACGCGTAGAAGCTGTAACTCAAATCGAGCACCGGCGAGCCCACGCTGCTCATTTGAAAGTCTATGAGGAAGATGTTTTCCAGCTGCTTCTTATCCTAAAAAAATAACGGGTTATCTCAACAAATTTTAACCATTCATTTATCTGTACTTCATACATATTGTTTGCAAAGGATTAAACTGTAACTTGTATGATATGATTGTATAGATTTTGTAGATACTGTAGGTATTTGTGATAGTGTTTGAATTGGAGATAACCTACTCTCAAGTGAGCTAGATGCAACAAATTGTAACAAATTTAAAAGTTTTGTCACAGTGATACAGAAATTATGCATTACCTAGACAGGGTGTTTTATCAAAATCTCTTCTTTTAAATTCACAGTAACCATTTTTTTATATGGAACACACCGTATATATAGAGGTATTTTGAAAGATATACTCTTCTGCTTTTCCAAAATGTATTATATGTCCTATTTCATAAAATATGGTTAATGTGCATTTAAGAAAGAGGATTTTTATGAGACCCTGTACAGGCGATACAAAATGTTTGTATCGCTGTAACAAAAAGTTACATGTTACAAAACCGCATGTTTTTATGATTAGGCGTTTAAAAATTGTTAGTTTACTATAGGGGCTACTTTTCATTGGGACACCCTATATTGTTTGCAAAGGATTAAACTATAACTTGTATGATATGATTATGTAGACTTTGTAGATACTTTGTAGATACTGTAGGTAATTATGATAGTATTTGAATAGGATGATAACCTACTCACAAGTGAGCTAGATGCAACAATTTGTAACAAATTTAAAATGTAATACGTACGTCGTATTTAAACATCAAATTATTACTCCAAGCGTCCCCGTGTAAGAAAACTCCATACTTCCCAGTATAACTAACTGCTTCTATAAAAATCTTATCAGCTTTTTCCACGTACTTCTCCAGCCTCTCAGCTAACTCGGGCTCGTCGTGCCTCAACAAAGCCTCTCGCCACGTCTTGGCGGACCCCTTCAGCGAGGCGGACAGGAAAGGAGTGCTGGCGAACATCGCCCAATTGTTCCTCAATCCCGCCTTCAACTCATCGAACTCCTCCGGACGCGATCCCTTGAAAGCGAAGCCCGCGGCGTGGAGCCTCCCGTACTTCCTGAACACCTCCTCCATCAGGCCGGCGCCGAGGGCGTCCTTCTTCGGGTGCATCTCGTACCCGTCGTACTTCGCGTTCCTGAAGCAGATCTTCTCCTCGCCGCCGGTCTCGTCGGCGCCGTAACACCTGGGGGCCACGTCGAAGGGGCCCACCTCCGGGTGGGCCTCGCGGAAAGCGCGCAGCGCCGGGAGGATCCGCTGGTAGACGTGGATCTCGTTGCGGTAGGTCATCGACATGAGTTTGGTGGCGCTCTCCGAGTCGCAGGGCAGCACTTGCTTGATCACCAGGTGGTGCTCGTCTTCGGCGGTCCTGCGCTTCAGCGAGACGAACAGCATGTCGCCGAGGAAGCCCTCGCCCTTCTCGTTGCCGCCGTGCAGGACGACGTCCCAGTCGGGCAGGTGGACGTCGAGGGCGTCTTCGAGGAATTTGGCCATGTCGTCGGAGAGGACGCGGCTCATGTTGTTATCTTATCGTCGGTTTTGTTTGGATAATTAGACGAGCGAACTAGGTGACTAGATGTAATTCGGTTCGTGAGCGACGCCGGAATGATTATCTATTGGAGGTTTGGAGATTTTTATAATGTGTTTCGACGAGGCTAAAGGTCGATTTTGAATGAATGCAGGCGTGCATGTAGATTGGATTAATGCGTAGAAATGGCGAATATTCTATCATAATGTGTTTTTAATTCTATTGAGATATTATCTGGTTAACCGATATGTAATTTTATACCTCCATGGGCATCATTATTATTAGGTAATAGGTGGTTATGTAACTGATGACAATCTAATGGGAAACAATAGATTAAACGTATAAATAATGTAATTTTGTTTGATTCGCCGTGTATATTATTTAATTATTAGGTATTTCAATTAAACACCTGGCCCGTATTCACCGCCTCTGTTCAAGTTTAGAGATACTCTAAAGTCGTGTCTTTAACTTGACTGATTTACATTGTTGTTATGGAGTAACTAGTGATTCGAGACGCGACTTTAGAGTCACTCTAAAGTTAAACAGAGGCGCTGAATACGGTCCAATGTTGCACTTACTTACTTAAATCATATCAATGTACATCATAAGAAATTTGAAAACTGATAACACCTTCAGGTTACTGTAATTGGTTTGAACAGGGACAAAATGATTTGATAATAAAATTAGTATAAAAAAATTAATAACGGTACATTTTTCCTTAAAAAAATAGTTAGCGATTATCGCTCGTAAAAACGATAAATCGGCTTAATCCGAAATTAAATAGTCATATAATATTTTTTAAACTTGTTGAATATTTAATTAACAGCAGTACGTCAATTGTTTAAACTATGATTAAGCACAATTACTCGATAACATAATTACCCGATATATCATACAAAAATGAAAAATCACATAAGAATAATTTCAGAAACATTTACAAAAAATTAGTTAACTTCCCATACAACACATGTCCCAAAGAATCCACACAAAAATGGAACAACTCAATGAATATTTGTATCAAAATCAACAATCCCAGTCGTTCCTCATAAAAGGTCCCTTTCGTACATATGCCTGACGAGGCTCAAGCTCCTCTTCCTATACTCCTCCACGTCGAATTTGATCCCGTAATCCTCAAAATCGTCGGGGTCAGTCGTACCGTCCATAAGCTCATTAACCGTGGGCATATCGGTAAAATCCGTGGCGAGTTTCGTCACCCACACCATCAACCCCATGATCATCGCGAACCGGCAGTGCCGCCTCCAATCCGCCTTCAGCGTTTCCATCGGATAGATATCGTTCAAATCGCAACCGTACTTTCTCAGATTCTCCCCCAGCTCCGTGTGGTAGATATCCAGCAGCTCGTCCAGCCGGTCGAGCTGCTGCTGGTCGGCTCCAGCGTAGAACGAGTAGCTCAAGTCGAGGACCGGCGGAGCCACGAAGCCCAGTTGGAAATCGATCAGTTTGATGTGCTCCACTTCTCTTGAGGCCTGGAATTGTTCAGTCATTAGAGCTGGGTTGTTGTAGGTGCAAAAAGGGAGAGATTATGATGAAAATGCTGATTTGATGTTATAAGGTGATTCATCATAAAATCTTCTTCGAAGTTCTTAGGATTGGATTTGATGATGATAACTTGAATATTACACTTCATAGCTATTATTATCTCAAATCAGTAATGAATGAAAGTGGAATTTTATGATACACTGTACTGACACAATACTGATAGCTTTTAAAAATATTTGCTCAATTTAATAAACGTGGAAAAGTGGTAGCTTTATAGTGCTTGTCACCTTGTAAGGATCCAATTGTTCTAATTTACATATTTAATACACCGACAGTTACGACATTTTATTGTTATTATATAATTTATCTGATACTTACATTATATTTAAACATCATATTATTACTCCAACAATCTCCATGTAGGAACACTCCGTCGGGACCATCGTAGGTACAACTTTCGATGAAAACGTTCAAACTATTCGTGACGTATTTATCGAATTTTTTGGAAATTTTATCCTCGCCTTCATCCTCCAAGAAGCCCTTGACTTTACCGAAAAAATGTTCTGCGAACTTACCCATCATGCTGGAATTGTTATTTATTAATATCCAATTGTTGGGTAGGTTCTTCGACAGCTCCAGGAAGCGCTCTCGCCGGTGGTGCTTGAGCGCGTAGGATGCTGCGTGGAATTCCGCGTACGTTTTGAACACCTTCACAACAGTGGGGAAGTCGAAGGGTCGGGGCTTGGGGTGCATTTCGTAGCCTGCTTTAACCAGATTCACCAGGGCTAATTTTTCCCGACCCAAATCCTTGATCGAAGCGAAGCACTTGGGGAAATTGTCCAGCAATCTAACGCCAGAGAATTCCTTTTGGAAGTCCACCAGAGCCGGTAGTATTTCGGTGTAGTAGCGAATCTCGGTGAGGTAGGAAGACGTCATGAGCTTTTTGGTGTCTTCAGAACCGCTGGGCCGGACGCATTTCACTATCATATGTAGCTCTTCTCCGGTGGATTTGCTCCTAACCTCGAGGAACGTCATTTCCCCCAAGAATCCTTCGCCTTTGGCGTTGCCGCCCCTTACGGTTATTTGGTAGTTGTCCAGGCTCTCGGAGCAGAATTTCTTCAGTAATTCCGCGATGCCCTCGTCCAGAGGCGGAGGCTGCGGTGCAGTCGATGCCATTGCGTTGCACGATGTTCGACTGAATTTCGTCGGCGCTATTATTTAATTATAAAGGTACCGAATCGTATGGAATCTAAATCGCTCGTGAAGGTTATGTGCTGTTTAAATTCCTAGTCATTAATTCGCGTTTTATCCATTTCCCGCTTAAGTGCGTCTGATAGTAAATAAGTCACCTTATAGGATCAATTGGGTCCAATTATTTCTAATTAAATTATTATAGGCTTATTGCATTTTTGGAAATATTAATATGCAATGGTAGAGATTTGTAATAATTACCATCTGAATAAAATTAGTAGTATTTGGAAATTATATCTCATTTTATAAAACTTGGAAGAAGCACTGAAAATGTGTTAGCTTAGGTGGTAATTTTTCTTCCATAATAAATTTGAATTTTGGCATTTACATTAAATATTAAAAAAAACTATTGAACAAACACAAAGTGTAAAGTCCATTTATTAAATAATACATCGGTATCGAAAAAAACTCCATTAATTAAAAATCAATTATAGGTAGACAGTCTATCTATTTTTCAAGCTATTTGCCAATACTGATATCTCTACTTCAAATCAATTAGAAACACTCAAAAATAATTTGTTCAATTCCTTTATCTATCTTATCATTTATGTAACAACATTTTACGTTATCGCCCAATAACGAAATATTTTTTTTATTTTTGTACCTTACCCATTGAATATGAGATAACGTTACTTTATCAGGATGCGCTTTGGCTTTATCAAAAATCAATATATTTGCTAATTACAATAAAGAATATCTTACTGTGAGTTATATTTTGAATTTTCCATACGAAATATCAGAAATATGGATGCCCCGAGGAACAGGAAATTCGGCAAAATTGAAGAAGATAATGTCTCGCAAAGTAGCGAAACTTTAGAGTAAGTGTTGATAACTTTTTTCGTAATAAAATAATTATACACAGCAGCTGATTGAGGTGAAGTCCAATCATTAAATTATCATTAAAGTTGATCATTTTTCTATACTTTGCTCTATAAGTTGCAATTAAATCCTGTAAAAACTACGCTAATCATTTCAGGTGGGAGAACTCCTTACCCCAAATTAACCCGAGCAGATTAAAATCGCCCTTAAAAAGGAGATACTTGAGGCACTTTCCCAGTGTAGAGGGTGAGGAAATATTGAAGAAGTACAGTTGTGCATTGGTCAGCGATTTTCTACGTCACGGTCAACTTTACGTCACAAACAATTATTTCGCTTTCTATTCCAACATTTTCGGATACGTTACAAAGGTATTTGTCGCTCTAATCATCAATTAAAAACCGAGAAATTTGTCCGAGTCAAGGTTATTAAAGTAATTAGGATTGATCAATCGCGTATAAGCTTGTGTAGTTGTTTTTATGACGTCACCAAGTTTCATTCAGTAACTGGTAAACTATATAGGCTATATTTTTATCTGTTTAAGTTATTGATACCTGTTGTAAGTGTGGAGGAACTGACGAAAGAAAAAACAGCGAAATTTATACCGAATGCGATAGGAATTGTGATCGGTGAGGAAAAACATGTATTTTCCAGTTTCATACAAAGAGACAACACGTTCCAGTACATGAAGAAAATTTGGCTGGAAACTCGTAATTACGATTCGGTGAGTCTCAAAAGAGACATTTTTCGCCTAGTATTTAAGAAATTTGTTAATTAGGTACTTAATTTTAGGACTCTTGTTCTGGTTTTTCTTCGGAAGAAGACTTACCGAGCGACGAAGAGCTGGAACTGGATAGCAGCAAACTCGAATCCATCCCAGAAACAATTCCCCTAAATAAAAAGAGGAAAAAATATTTACTGGCGGGCTCCGTGTTAATTGTAATATTATTACTGACAGCGGGGGTTTTGTTTTATAAAATAACAACGCGCGAATTCGATTACCCATCAAAGGAAACGAAAACCAGATCAGCAAGGGAAGATATTTTTTCCCAGCACCCGGAATTATACAAGGAATCTTATTCAGCAATCAGCGGATTTATGGACAAAAACATAAACAGTCTTTCAAAGGTAATAGGATTAGCATAATTTTAATCGTTACATTAATTGCGATTTGTTTGTAGACTCGAAAAAATTTAGAAAACATGTTCAAATTAATAGAAAAACAAAAACAATAGTGACACAAATAATTGACTCTCTACGATACATAATTAAATTTTCTTTAGGTGTATAATCACTCTGTGTAGTTAATAAATAATCTCTTAATGTAGATGTTGATGGAATGATTCTAATAAAATTTAACCTCTTGTATATCGAAATACTTTCGAATCCACCTTGTATAGTACAATCAACCAGTCCACTTTATAGCAGATTATTCACGAATTTAAAATTTCACGTGTGTGTGTGCTCCGCAAAGTGTAACGCCCTCATCGATTCATCTCCACCGAGTGTAATGTTCATTCTACAGTGCGTTGTAAATGCCATACCAACATCGATGATTTCATGGTGGCTTAACAACCCCACTCGCTTCTTTATGCTCTGCTTCTGGCTCCACTAATTGCCGTTTCCTTCCTGTCTATCAGCCTTTAACTCTTTTCGATCGCTTTTAACAATACCTACTATACATTGCTGTACCGTGCACCTGTACTGAATTTTTTGAAAGTTTGTGCTGTGTATTAATCCAGCATAGTAATGAAAGTGATACTATTAGTTTGTTAAAATAGTTCAAGTGTGTAGATACAGGTGGGGAGAATTCACTTGCTCTTTAGAATCGTGAAAATTGTTCTAAAAAGTAGAATTTTGTGAAGAAAAAATACCACGTAGGTGCATTTTTTTAATTATTAATGCACTTTCAGGCTAATGGGATTCCTGGAACCGAATTTCTGCGTTAATGCAACGTAATTGTCGAATTAGTGCTTATTAATAAAGTGTAACCGGAATGAACTCCTAATGAAACAGTCACCAAGAAGCATGACTTAATTGCTCGACACAATATTGTTTGTTCGCGACAAGAATGGACCGATTCGCCTGATAACGAGCCGAGTTTTCCGTGGAAAATGGCCGTGGTGTCGCTGGTCGGCAGCAAAATTATCCTGGCCTTTTGTAACTTTCTCCTACTGGTAAGTTTCTTGTTAAATATTTCACGAATTAATTAGAATATCTGATGGGATGGCGCAATTAACGCTGTTAAAGTAGACGTGAAATTGGCAATTAGGAGAACAAAGATCCCAAAGTTTTGAAATCTGCTAATTCATTATAAAAACTACCCTCATTTTAGACTATTATAGTATAGTATACACGAAGTATACAGGATTTTTTCTGGAGTTAATGTGGAGTATAAATTTTAAGGTATGCGGGTTTACGCTAATGGTAGGAGGTATGCTGGTGTTTTTCGACCACGAGAGAGTGCTGCTTTCTAAACTTCTAACACCGACTGGGCCGTTTTCAACGCTTCCTCACCCATTATTGCATTACATTACCATGGGAGTCGTCTTGCTGGGGATCATATTAACAGCAGCCAGCATTTTGGGATGCTGGGCATCATGCGTACACAACTACTGCATACTGAGCTTGGTAAGAACACATTTTTTAATCATATACAGGTTGTAATAAAATGATGAGACACCCTGTATATTTCTAAGGACAAATCCGAGAGTGTTATTTCGATTTTCGTCATTTAATAGCGTCGATTTGTTGCAGTATTTCTCCATTGTCTTGTTAGTGCTGGTAGGTGAATGTGCCATTTACATAATAATTTGGATCTGGCCGAATTGCATGGGCCTGGGCGTGGAGGATGGTGAACTGATGCGAGCCATACAAAGGAATTACGGCATTCGCGATCAAGAGGAATTTACAGCGGCCGTGGATCTCGCGCAAACGGAAGTAAATAGAACAATCGTTGATTTATTAGAAAGCTTTGAAACGATTCTAAATTAATTTGAATTATTCAATATTGAGATAAAATGAATAATGTATTCTGTAGTTTCACAATAATTCGGGACTGTACAGAACCATTCTAAACAGTATTGAACTGTCCTAATTTATTCTGGAGAGTACTAAACTGACATGAACCCATTCAAAACATGACTGATCCATTTTGAATGTTCTTGAACACTCCGGAATGATTCAAACTATCTCCGGTAGAGTCCTAGTCAGTTCAAAACAGTTTAGTTCCGATCAGTTTTTCAACAATTCTGAAACAAACGGATCCACTTTGAACCGTGATGCTATCCTTTTAATTCTTCTGATTAACGAAATTTTTGACTGTTACAGTTAAATTGCTGCGGAGTGGATTCAGCAAACGAATACGACACTTCCTACTGGCGCCTGCAGGCCCTGCGCCCTTCGCTGGCAGTACCTTTAACCTGCTGCAAATTGAGCAACATTAATCAGCCCAAATCTTATCTGAATCCGAGCCCTACGAGCCTCCCTCTGTGCCAAGCTTTAGAAAGGAACAGGCACGAAGGATTCAGACATACAATGGTAATTACAACCAGAATTCCCGCTGAATCTACTCTAATAATTAATGGTTTTGCAGGGTTGTAAAGAACCGTTGAAGAAATGGTACCGAGACCACTACATAGCCTTCCTAGGCGTGGGTCTGGTAGTGGTGTTGATCGAGTTTTCGGTACTGCTCAGCTCTATTGTAACTTGTACGAGGATCTATCACCACAACAGGGAAACAGAGGATAATGAAAGGAACATCCAGCAGCTGGACGCCGATATAGTGTCCTCGAATCTCGCTCCTATAACTACCTTCAAGAGATCCTCGGGCTCGGAGGCCGGAGCGTACAGTAACGAGCTCTACGACATGGGTAATCAAATGCACGTAGTCAAATACAGAATTAGGGAGATGTGAAAGTTTCGCGAGAATATTACGATGCCCGTATGTGTCTAATCGGCGCTAAATCCCCGCGTAATTCCCAAATTGCGCGAGTTTATTATAAAGTTTAAGTTTTAATGAAGAATATTGCCGGTGCGTAAATATTTATCATGGGACTCGAGCAAAAATTATATTCTGCTGAACACCTCGAGCGCCGGAGGGATTATACAACTTTATTTATACAGGGCGATTACTGTACTTTGGAATTTGCTCGATACTGGATTATTTTGTTGAAAGACATTTACATAGGTATATTATTTTATTTAATTCGAGAGTACGTTTACAATTCAACCGAACATAATCACATATAACAAATATACAATTTCATTGTGTAGCTCTACATGCTTAATATAAAATAAAATTATAGTGTTTCCTACATGGATTACATTTATTATGCATTGTGATTACCGTAAGTAACGAAATATCCGATGGTAGAATGTAATAAACTAATATTAAAAATACACAATCCTGTGAATCATACTGATACTTATAACTTATAACATACAGCTTTGCACAATGTAATAAAATTTAATCAACTATTTATGATCTAATATCGATACTATCGATATTAATTTTAATAGCTCTCCTTTTTAATGGGGTATTGAATTGAAAGTGGGTGGATACATTACTAAAAATAATCAAATAAAAAGGGACTTGAAAGGTATAAATGATATAGATAAAAATATGAAACAATAGATTTATAGATGAAACAATGATGTACATTATGCGAAGCTGAAGAATACAGTAATTGAAATTATATTTAGAGGAAACAAGGACCGACATTATTTTTTGTTGAAACAAATTGCATATCCTTAGATATTCTTCCTACTTTTACTTGCACTCTTTATACGCCGCGAAAAGCGTGTTTTTCTTAGTCAAAAAAGAAAATATTCTGTTTAATTTTACATAAATTTAGGCCAAACTCACACTTAACAATCCACCATTTAAATTTATTATTAGCATTTTTTAAAACCCTATCAAAACTTATACCGAAGTATAGGAGTAGGAAAACTCTATATCCTACACCTAATATACATTTCAATAAGGTTACTTTGCCTGTAACTTGAAGGAATAATCTGAAAAGTTTCACACCTCGCTGTGTGTTAGGATTATCATACTTATTACACACGGAAAAAAGTGGCATTTTCGAACATTTTCTTTTTGACAAAAACATATTGAACTCTCTCTGTAGGGTGACTAAAAGAACTGGGGAGAATCATATACATTGAGCCCTTACACTTGTATAAGATTCGTCGAATTAGCCGCATTTTAATTGCAATTATAAAATGCGGTTAATAAATTGTTTGCAATTTACACAGGAGCTCGAGAAACACCGCAAATGCGTCGAGAAATGTTGGTAATTTGCGCGTTTATCGATCGAAATTCATATTTGTTATAGTTCTGATATAGGAAAAATTATTTCTAGTTATTTTTCTCAAGAGGATATGACCAAAGTTATAGTACATTCCAAATTCAGTCGAAATTTTCACCTAAACTGTGTCGAATTTCAGATATTTCTCTAAGGCTTTCTGTTTCCACGGATTTTGAATTGTACTATACGCATCTAATTACAAGGCTTATGACAACATTTACTTGAAACATTCATAAAACACGAAGAGAACGAAATCAATTGCAATGTCACCTGAAGGAATGTAATACAATTTTTATCTTTTTGGTCAATTTCGTTTACAAATACTACTACAATATTCTTCTTCTAAATAGGATGAAGGACATTCGAACGTATCATAAAATACATTTGATATATTAATAATTGTTGTTCGCTCTGAACGCGGCCCGGCCGATTAAAACGACGTCTTTCCGAAGATGAAGTTGCCCGGGTCGGATGGATTTTCCGAAATGAAGAACTGCTTCCACAGCTCCTCGAATTGCTGCGAACTGACGCTCGGCTGGCCCTAAAACCGAATATCCCATTGATCCCATTGATCCCATTGATCCCAATAAATGAAAAAAAACATACCTGCGCCATCTTCTGGAAAGCCTGTCTGCACTCCTGCGGGTCCAGCCCGTAGCAGGAGCACACTCCGGTGAATTCGTCGATGTCGATGGCGCCGTCGCCGCTCGAGTCCTCCATTTCGAACATAAATCTCATGTACTGCACCTGCCAGTCCAGCGGGTTTTCCGAGTCTTTGGAAAATTCGTCCCACATCGTCGCCCACTCTTCGACGCTCACCTAAAGGCATTAATACTCAGTCAAAGGCTCGGATTTATTTTATTTACTTACAACGGATCGACCCAAGTGAATTTATCAAGAGTGAGGTGTATAGAAATTTTTATACCGCGTACCTACTGCACCTGATTTGACTCTATACGCCGCAGTTGCAGTAATTATTTCGAATGGAGCAATTGATTGTTCCAGGGCAATAAACAACGTATATTACATTGTAAATATCTTGAGTGAACGGGCATAAAAGGCCGCTGTAATAGGATTTTAACGATTTCTCCTAGTTTCGATAAGACACGAACGTACAATAAATAGCACCGAAGCGAAAACAAAATAGAGATTGTGCGGTTTAGTATTCTCGATTGTCTCTAATGTACGAATAAACATCGCGCGAAAAATATGTATAGTAGAGAAACGAGGGGCGAGGGCATAAGAATAAAGCTTACGAGTAGAGGGAAAGAGTAGAGCAAAAGTGTGGATCCAAAGAGTATAGTGCAAAGAGTAGAAAATTTAGGTAAATATCTTCTTTTTTGAATACTTTTCGAGGAACGGGGATGAGAGCTAGTCTTTTTAAGAGAGTGTTTTATCAGCAAAATCGTCCTGATAGTCCTGACGAAAGCTGTAGCTCTAAATCTTGGGAAGTATAACGTTACAGTAAATTGCACCGTTCCGGGAATAATAGAGACGCAGTTTGTTTTATAGTAGTTTACTGACTAACGTAACGATACAATGATGAAGGCGTTCGTCGAGCATTTCAGCGTTCTTAAAAGGTGAGCAATAAGAAAATCTATTATGTAAATCCGACGAAAGCTCTATAAATTTGGGTACGGCAAAACCCGAAGTAGCCGTTTAAAAATAACGCTTCTTTTGTAACAGTCGTTACAGCACCTCTATAGCAAAAAATTAACTCCCACCTCTAATAAACTTCTGTCATACGAAATGTCAATAATGTCAACTTCGACAGTTTTGTTTATTTATCTATCATCGAACGCATCTTATGCGTCCCTCTTATGCGCGTTACGAATAAAAATTAGTAATTTATCGTAGAGTAGGTACAGTAGGATATGGAATCCCTGCGTGAGATACATTTTTGTAATTTTTTATGAATTAAAAATATCGGCTTACCTGCCCGTCCTTGTTGGAATCCGCTTTATTTTTCAGACCTTCCCATATTTTGATCATGCTTTCGAAGGTTTTGTTGTAGTCGGGTGAGTCGCGGGGCCACCCTCTCAAGCTGCATATTTTCTAAAAATACATTAAACATGAGAAATGCGCTTTACTATAAACCTTCAACTTCACAAATCGCCGAATATGTAAAGCTCAAAAAATAAATTTTACGATTCACCAGAAGGAGAATTTCGACTTTCTGAAAGCAGCTAATTGTTCGCATAAAGCGGGGTATTTAAAACTAAATTTTCCGTTTGTTATAGTTCGTAGCGCTTCGTCGTCCTCTCCGACTCTATTAAATGAAATACGAAACGGACGTGTCCGCGTTTCTTATTAACCTAATTAGAGCTCTTGCATTTCTTAAGCGCCCGAACGAATCTCGTTTACGCGAGCCACATTAAGCATTCCCGGCTCGTTCCCAACCGATCGAACAAAACTGTAACCGAATTCAAAAATTCCCAGTGCACAATCGATTAATATCCGTTTCGATTAATTATTCGCCGAACGAAATCCGCTAAATAAACGCGAAAGTTGTTTGGGAGTATTCCAAATATTTGCTCACCTCAATAGCCAGCTCGAAATCCTTGCGATCGATCGTCCCGCTTTGGTTCACATCTGCAAAAGAAAACGATCAGATTCGAATATGTAGAAAATAACTAAGTACACAGTTCGATGCGATTGATGTTTACTCGCGCTGGAATTGCTCGGGAAGGAGAACGATTGTTGAAAATCGCGGAGGAAGCCTCAAGGAATCACTAAGTAAACACAGAAATGTTTTATAGCAGTACGGTAATTATTGAGCAATTCAATGAGTATTTTAGTCACTTTAGTCCATTCAGGAAGTATCTATAACAGATAACTTACACGAAAGTTCCTAATTTTACACATACAAAATTTTCTATGAAATACCAAGATGCGAGATGATTAAAACCCCGCTGAAAAATCTGCATATACAGGGTGAGTCGCTAATTAAAAAAAAACCAATTACAAAGACGTAATTTAATCTTGGCAGGCCGGGCGACGCCTCAACAAGTTCATTATAAAAGCGAGCGCGATTAATCCGAGCCGGCTTTCCGTTGTTCGGGGCTTTAATCGCGCCCTTACGGGCGCCCGCCCAATCGACACGTTCCGTCCGGGAACAATTCGCCTTCATTTCGGGGGCCCGAAAGTTTCGGGACCCCTTCCCGGCCGGCGTAAAACGGGAAAGTTGGAGCGCAAAGCAAAGAAATCGGCGGTGTTTACGATTTGCAGTGAGGTATTGCCGTCCGCGATACAGGGACAGGCCAGATAAATTCGGATGAAGGGCGACAAACAGTCGGCGAGATGGGACTGCGATTAGAGCGTTAGAGCTTTGTTTAGTTTTTGTACTTTAGCGACAAAAAAGGTGATATAAAAGGTTGGAATTGCTTGAATTGTTGGAACACTTTTATCTACTAAGTAGATGCGATGTGTAGATAAAATAAGCAAGACATTAAGGAGAGATTAATTGAAATTTGTGTTGATTTTGTGTAGTAGAAGAATAGATAGATAATTGAGAGAATAGAGAGTCCTGAGAATGGTGAGTCGAGAGAATAGGAAGTCGAGAGAATAGAGAGTCGAGAGTAGTGAGTAGAGGGTAGAGAATCGGAGAATAGAGAGTATTTATATATGGAGTGGAGAATTAGAGAGTAGAACTTCTTTTACAAAAACACGTATTCCAATCTGGTCGGGATTAAATCTGGACTCGGTAACAAGCGCTGTAATTTTCCGGGGGATAATCCGGGAAAATTCGTTTTTCCCCCGCCCGCCGCTGGTTCGCTCGTAATCCCGTGCAGACGTTAAACAAGAATCGGGTTTCGTCAAATTTAGAGCGGCTCTTCGGCGAATGTTATTAATTCCCGGGATTACGATGCTCTAATAAAAAAAATAAACATTCCGATGGAATTCGCCCGGCAAAGAGTTTCCCGTTTTGCGGCCGTAAAGGAACTAATTGGAAGAGGGAAAATGCTCCGACTTTCGTCCGGATAAGTTTCCTGACGAGAAATTAATTATTTAGACGCCGGGGCTCTTACCTAATCGGTTATTTAGCTAGCCACGGGATAAGTCAATCGGTAAATGCAACTCGCTAAAAGTAAATCATAATCACCGCGCAATAGGACGAGATTTTCCTGCCGCAAAATCGCGGCGAAAATGAATTATTATCTCTATTATTACGTCCCTGTTATCCTTCTTATATGACCCGGAGTTAAGGATTGCCACGGACAGAAACACATATATCACAGGCGGCTTACCGAAAAACACGTGAAACACGTAGAGCAGCTTCTTTTTTCTGAATTCCGAGATGGGCATGTTGCGCAACGGTCCCTGTAAAAAAAATACCAAAGCTTAGAAATTGATTTCGTTCGATATTCCATCAGGCGGAGATTGAATACGTGAACTATTTTCATAATTCGCAGTAGTTAAAGCGAGCTAGAGTATAAACAAGAAAAGTCATCGTAACTACAAAGTTTAGGTATACCTAAATACTATTTAATCTAAAGTTATATGGCTAGTTGTAAATGTAAAATAACTCACAATATCTTGTGACCATCTGACCACTAAATCTTGTTAGGTAAATGCCTAGCGTTAATTAGCGCATCTACACGTCGTGGAGGAATCGAGCAATTCCCTTTAATTAATTTACTAATGCCGCCGGACCTTTGCTGTTAATTTAAATCTAAATTATCGACCAAATTCCTCGACATTATCCTTTCCATCGCCAAGACGTTTCCCACAGGACTTCGTCTGCGGAGTACGAGAGGAACTGGAAGTCAGCTGTGTCTAATCGATTGTCTATAACTGTGAAAGTAAAACCGCCGAAGACGAAGTTTCTTCTGGGATGCTGCCGTTATTGCAGCGGAACCGATTTTTGCGGTTTGTGCAATAGGTTTATACCGGGTGGTAACCGTAAATTCTCGACGGTATAAGCCATTATAAACGATTACGTTTTGGAACCACCCCGTATAAGGGGCTTGTTAAATTTCGATTAGGGGCTCGGTTTCGTCTTGAATGCTGAGAATCGATATTAGATTGTTCTCCTGATCGCATTTGTTACGATAGAATGCATACATATGCAGGGTGTTTTTGATTGATTAAGTGTAGAATATTAGGGGTGGTGATATCCTGGTTCATTCTCAAAATTGCCAAAAAATAATCACTATTCCTTAATCTTCTATTCATATATGTATATGTAAAACACCCTGTATACATTATATAGAGTGAGAATTGTATAGTAAATTGAGGAGATACCTATTTCGTCTAACAGAGGCTAAATATAAATCAGATTTACTACTAGAATACATTCTATTGATGTATCTACAGGGTGAGTCAACGATATTGTTGAGTAAGATTTCAATAAACAGTAGAAATAATTTTAAAAGTATCTCATGTATATTTTTATTCATGGAGCTATTTTTTATCGTAATTGTATTCATTATTTGACTACCCTGTATGTAACAATCCAGAGAAGAAAACTAAAATAATACTATTTACAATAATTTACAAATATATACAAAAATAATTACTAATATTATTATTAAAGTAATTAGCGAAATTGAAAAGTATACAATAAATTCCCTTTAGGAGTTACTAAAGTTAACCACTTATAAAGTTACTATAAGCTAGAACTAATTAGCACCAATTGGTACCAAAGTAAATATTTGTAACTAAAAGATTCTTTTATAGAGGATATTTTTCAATTTCGCTATAAAATATAGCTCAACCTTTAAGCCGTTAAAGAAATATAAAGTACCTACTTACCCATACGAGTTTAATACCTTTTACAATTTAACCTTTACAAATGAAGTAATAAAATAGACGATTGTGAGCGAATGAAGAAATGTCGATTAAATAATGAGAATAATAAACCGCATGCAAGTTCTACATTTCTATACAGAGCGATTCAAAATTATGTGGCTAATTTTCATCTTGTATTGTGGTAGTTTATTAAATAAACTGCCCACTATTATGTATTAATTTATTTGCTGTAAATTAAATAGCATAATAGATATACAGGGAGATTCGTAGAGTTTATTTTCCAGTCAAGAAAAGTCAGATTCTTACGAGTCACCCTGTATATCGTGTGAGGTGAAATTCGAAGCGGCAAGCGTGACTTTTTGAAACGCCCTGTTTAGAATAAATTCAAGCCAACTGCTGCAAAAAATCTTCCGTGAGTTTCTAGTACAAGCTCTTTCGATTTTTAGATTTTACTTTCGATATGGAAATGAAAAATTCTTACGAAATTACACATGCTCTATTTTGTTGATTACCTCGAGGGAAAAATTTACAACCAAGTGGCGTTTAGTTAATTTCCTTTAATGTTCGAAAATACGTACAGTTCGACCGAAATAGCTAGTCACATACTTCGTGTCTTTCTATTTTTGTGGATCTGTAGGCAATTTTTAAACGAAACTTGGATTATAAATTGAATAGAAATTTTCCCCTTACTACGTTTCATTGATGTTTGTTTACCTTTACTGAAATTAAATTTGAATAATTTACTTGTCAAGCCATTCTCAGGCAATCGAGCTAAGTACTATTTACCCTACGTACCCCAAAAAAATTTCGGGGTATTACCCGCGTCATCATGTCACGCAGGATGGTCTTTCCATAGTTCAAAGTGTCCATTCCAACGTGGAAAGACTATTTTCGAGCGAAGGCTATCCTATAAAATTCAAACTTTCCATTAATCATCTTGCCACACCATGCAAATTAACTCGAGAATTTTAAATTCTTACATGTAAACTAATCGATGCCGCTATTCAATTTTCTACACTTGTTTATATTGATCAGGTTTAATTATTCACGCGATGGAAAAGGGTTTCCCCTGGCCTACCCTCTGTAGAAAAAACCTTTTCAAAGGGAATCGCTGTATCGTCAACTCATAATTAGCGTCGCTTTGTTCGATAAATTATTCACAATGAATACATTAATTAATTTATTCGTTCATGAAGCACTCGTAAAAGATGTATGTACTTGATATGGGTATTATTTGAAGCTTGTTGGACTTACACTCGAAAAAGTAAAGGTTGGCCTTGGAAATCTGGAGAATTTGGGGTAATGATCTAGTGACGGTGGAAAAAAACCTGTCATTGTCATTAATCAAACGTCACAGTAAATGAAATTTCCTAATTTTGCACGATATAATCTGTATAAATAATAATTCTCGTTACGCAGATATTCGTATAATAAATTGAAAATTCCATTGTTTTGTTATCATCTGGTATGTCCGTAAGGTATATTAAATCTTTAAAAATATTCGTTAATATTTTCCGCAATGTAATATGAACCTCCTTATTAAATATTCTTGCCGATGTCGGGGAAAATTGCGAATTTTTATCATCTAAAGAAAGGAACTCGAACGCGGAGCGATATCGGAAAACGGCATAAAAGTAACTGGATTGACCTATAAGTTAATTGGAGAAAAAGGAAGTAGAACATTTCTCTTTTAATGAAACTTTACTACTTTAATTTACATATTTCTGTCCTAATATCGGCCCTTAACGATTGCAACGTCGATAACGGACATTCGTTCTAGTTACGGTCAATGCTAAAACGGATTGTTAATTTAACGGTTTCTGCTGTTATGCATTATGAGAAAAGCCGCTTTTGCTCAAATTATGAAACGAGTCGTTAATTCAGCGCTGCACTCTTTCACTCATAAATGGAATAATCAAAATGTAGCAATTCGCTTTGATAATAAAATTATATTCCTTCTAACCTATACTTTTGATACACTTATTTTTACACAGGAATATTTGGAGTACACCCTGTATGTTTGAGAATTGGATTTGGGTTGATTCACTAAATATGTAAGAATTAGCCACATTCCTTATTCATATTTGTTAGGTCTCCTGAATTCGAAATTAACCCGCAGAATCTGTAATGAAAGTGTCACAGGATTTTCAATCCTCCTACCGCCTACCATTCAGGACCCCCTCTAGAAATATTAAACCTATTAAATAGAAAGGGATATAATTTGCATGTACCCTGTCATAGTAATTTCCCCAGATCCGGCTTAACGAACTCGTTATTAAATTTTTACTAATTTGATAGTTTCGGATTGATTCTATTCTAAGCGAGTCGAAACAAATAAATAAATTATATCGAATCGAAAGGATTCAGCGACGCGTTAATGCGCGATCGACGCCGAAAGAAAACCCTCGAATTTCCCGGCGGGCTCGTTATTGGTTTTTCTTTTTACGCCCGCACATACGGAGGTACATGTCCTAAATCACGCGCCCTTTAGGTTCCTAAGCCCCCGCCGTAAAACTCAAAATGGATTTTCCGCTGTTAAAAAACCACACCCGAAAGCCTCTTAAATTAATATTTTTCACGATTAGTTATCGACGCTCGAACTTTCCTCGCTGGCCTTCATCGAGGATTCCACAACTTGCGAGAAATGGAGAGGGATAAGAGTATTTTTTGCACGTGGAAACTTACCACGACAGCGCTTATTGCATGCTACGCAGCAATTTGGGAGTCCCCGAAGGAAAATTCGGGAGCATGGAAACGATACGACCGGGTTTCGCAGGAGATAATTCTCGACCGGGCCGTAAACTGGCATTGGCATTCAAAAATAGTAGGAACTTATCGCCTGCGGGACAAGCCGATAACGTAAACGTGAACCCCCCAGTAATTCCAGGTAGGCGTTGCCCGCAGAGCTTTCGAATTTCCAAAACGTAACTTAGTTGCAATCCTGCAACAAACGCTTTATTATAAGTAGTAGGAAAAAGTAATAATAATAAAAACTCGGGATTGCAACCGTCGTAGTGCCGGTGAAAGCGTTGTGTTGTTCAACATATAGAGCGATACTAGATAGGGTTGTCGTTTCTTACTATGAAAGCTCTCGGGGAGAGTAAAGCCGATTAAATTTGTCAGATTAAAAATTTCCTCCGGGCAAGTCCCGGCAGTCTACGCTCTATATCGCCGCTATTACAACTTTCAATCAAATATAAGTAGAATGAAATCCCACAAAGGGGTATTAAAGGTCATACATTGACCCCGGGAAAAATTCGAAATACTGTATAAAGTAGAAACCGTTTTGAAAATTCATGAACATTTGGAATCGTCACTTTGGAAATTAATTGAACGAATCAACATCGATTGTTCTCGCCTTAGAAAACAAAATACCCTCCGAGGGTCCGGGGAATTTATTTTCTCCAGCGTATCCTGCCGAAGCGACGCTTATTACGCAAATCAGCGAGAACTTTCTTCTGTAATTTCGTTCGAATGTTCAATTCCGAAATTCGGTCGGAGAATAAGAAACGCGCCAGTCCCTTTAATTTAATTCATATCCTGTCCCTTTGCGGGAGCTCTTCGAGGATCGCTGTTGAATAAGTTTCTGATGTAAACAGGTCAACCCCCATTGAATATCATTTTGTATAAAATATGGAAGATGATGCGAAGAGAATAAGGACTCGTACAAGTGAAAAATAAGAGGTGAAGAAAGTGATGAAAATGAGTAAGTTAAGTTAAATTTTATATGATGGGTTGTTTCGTGAAGGTGCAGATGGCTTCGTTGTCCATTTAATAAATGCTGTAGCATTCGTGTAGCCTTTTGGGAGTTGCAGTGAAGTCATTTCCCCAGCGAGAGGATTCCATTCAAGATTTTCGAGAGTCGCATCAATGCACAACGGAATTTAATAATTTCTTTCGTTAGAAATGCGACGTGGAATGGAAACGCGATCATTCTCGAGCGTGCATAAAAATTTAATTTCGATTTTGCAGCAGTAAGTTACAATTATTATCCGGTTAAATTGACCCGTCTTTCGCGAAAAATTGCGCTACTCCCGCGTAAATTACGGATGTAAATTTTGAATTAAAATTACCCACCTACCCCGTTCTCAATTAGCCGGACTTTTCGCGTAACAAAACTCTTCCAATCTGGCTTTTCACTTAAATTGCGGCGAAAGTTCGACCGAAACACATATTTTCCCTTTTATTTCCGCTTTCCCTAATATAACGCTGAGTCTCCATCTGAGAATTCGTTCTCATAAAGTTGCCCAAATTGAATGAAAAATTGCCCGTGGGGATAATTAATCGGACTGGAATCGCAGGTCCTTTTGTTGCCGAAGAATAATGGAAAAATGTACATAACGGTGGCGTGGCGAATGAAAAATTGGTTCTTTGTCGCCGCGACACCCCCGAGGCTCGTTTACATTCTTATCGATGTTTCTAGGGGAATGTTAATTCGTGGTTTTTACCTCGAGTTTTATTGCCGACTATTACGATTGTTATGCCTATATCCAATCCGGCAAAGTCGGTACTAGATTGGTGTTGAAAAGGTTGTTTCGCAAAACGTTTCATTATCTAAATGTATTGTTAATTAATGGAGTGTTCTTGCCCATACGAGCCCAAAATACAGCAATTCACGCGACTTGTAGAAACACATAGGTACAGCCTTGTTTGGAATTTCAAAAATATTTCTATTGCAAATTAAATTTATTGAAATAACCAATTTGAGTGTAGGTAATAAGTAACAATTTAAAACTAATTTTAATGAACGTTTATAACATGTTTCGCCATTGTATTATAAACACTCGTATTTTCATATTTGCTAGTAAAACCATTCATTTGATTAAAATGGATTTTCAGTATTTTTCATAATTCAATTTATTACAGTTCCGTTTTAATTAAGCCGGGCTAGTATACATTCCTTTTCAATATCGTTAATTGAAGGGCAATATTACTGATTAAAACAGAACTATGATAAATATCTGTTACATGTTTAGTGAGGATAAATAGAAAAATCCAAAATTGTTCATTTTGTATCATTTTATTTTAAAAAAGATTTTTTATTATCACGTTTGAATTTCTGACGTCCCAGTATACACTTCTTTTAAATGTCATTTAACAAAAAACAAAACGTCAGTACTGCCAACATAAAATCGAAATCTGATTAAAATTATCTTTTCAGAAAGAAAATAAGTAATCAATCGAATAAAACAAATATCTAATTTTCGTTTCAGCGGTTTATTCTGTTACGTGACTATCCCACCTCTGCTATCGACGTCGCGTAGGCAACGAAATTCCGCGTTTGCTCAGTTGGTTGCATACGATCTAGGCCAAAGGCCAGCGCCGACTTAATATAGCATATAGCTATTATGTCTATTGGCAAACATTGGTGACCTGCATTATTTTACCGTAATATTTTCCAATCAGCTCGATCCGCCGAAGTTGCATCGAAACCCGCCTAAATACCAGCTGCACCCGGCCCGAAAACCGTGAGTATTCCCAGCGTCGCTGTCACCTTTTCCTATCGATTTCCAGCCAGAGAAATACCCCTGTCAGATAAATTAACCTCAAAAAAATTTGTCCATTGTAGATTCGCCGTAAAAAAATGGGCGATGCACCTGTTATGGCAACCAACGACGATGCCAGCGAGTGCAAGCGCGGGGCCGTCCTCTTGGGCTACTGGAGCGACGATTACATCTCGCACTTCGTGAAGCACGTCGAGAAGCGCGCCCCCGAAATCAACAGGGGCTACTACGCCCGCGTCAAGGGCATCGAGAATTTCATACAAAAGTTCATCAACAAGGCCGGCAGCTCGGCGCAAATCATCAATTTCGGCTCGGGCTTCGACACCTTGTACTGGAAACTCAAAGACGAAGGCATACAGATAGCGAATTACGTGGAGGTGGACTTCCCATCGGTCACCTCGAAG